CTGCTGGAGGCGAGGTGCGTGCAGCCTCCTCCTCCTCTTCTTTCTCCTTCTGCTCCTCCTGCCAGCACCGCCCTGTCCCGGCTGTCTCCTGGGGAGCAGGAGGGCGGAGGGACCCCCTTTTCCCTCCGCTGAGCGGGAAGGAGAGCTGGCAGCGTTTCTCTCTGTCGGAGGGTGTGTTCAAGTAGATTTTGGCTGTGAGGCTAAACTGCTTTCTGCCCTCGGAAAGTGCTGTGGACCGTGCTGGCAAGGCTCTCCCACGCTGTGAGGGAGCTGCACAAGCGTAAATTCGCATTTACTCTGCTCAGGCGTTTTGCAGGTCGCTGGGTCGCGGATATGTAATGGGCCAATTACACCATCCCTGCCTTCCGCTGGGTGACATCGTCGTCTGCCCCCAATTAGTTTGCGCGTTAATTAAACTGATTGTAAAGGTGATAGTGTAGATGTGAATATGTGAGAGTGAAACAGGGTGAAATACTTTTAAAAGGTATTTTTAAGTTGTAATCATAACTTCAGCCTGGAGAAGAGAAGGCTTTGGGGTGACCTAATTTCAGCCTCCTGAGGGAAGCCTACAAGAAGGATGGGTAAGGAGCCTTTCTTACAAGGGCATGCAGTGAGAGGATGAGGAGGAATGGCTTCAAACTGAGAGCAGGTTTAGACTAGATGTACAGAAGAAATTCTTTATTGTGAGGGTGGTGAAACAGCTGCCCAGAGAAGTTGTGGGTGCTCCATCCCTGGCAGTGTTCAAGGCCAGGCTGGATGGGGCTCGGAGCAAACTGCTCAAGTGGGAGATGTCCCTGCCCATAGAAGAGGATTGGAACCAGATGATCTTTAAGGTCCTTTCCAACCCAAACCACTCTGTGATTCACAATAGAAAGGGAAAACGTTTTCCAGTTTTAGATGCCTGTGGCTCCCCTGCCCATTTGGCTTACATTTTTTTTGTTTTTGAAGTTACTTGCTGCCGTTTGGAGAACACTCATGGAGGGTAGCACTGCAAGCTTCTGTAATCAAAGAAGAGGCAAACTTCCAAAGTAAAGATTAGAAAACAATATAGTCATGCTAGCAAATGGAACTTTTTGGTAGACATATGCAGGATGTTCCTGTAAGGAAAACCACAAACCTTAGAAATGTTACCTGTAAATCATAGAATGACAGAATGGTTTGGGTTGGAAGGGACCTTAAATACCGTCTAGTTCCAGCCCCCCTGCCAGGGACAGGGACATTTCCCACTAGACCAGGTTGCTCAGAGCCTCATTCAGCCAGGCCTTGAGCACTACCAGGGATGTGTCATCCTCAGCTTCTCTGGGAAACCTGATCCAGGGCCTCACCACCCTTACAGTAAAGAATTTCTAATGTGTATCTAACCTAAATTTTGCCTCTTCCAGTTTGAAAAAAAAAATGGAAGGGTGGTATTTAGTATAAAGTAAATCTTATTTAGAATAAAGTAAACCTTTTATGGTTTGTAAGGATTAACCCATGTTTGAAAGTGTTTCAAAGATTGATAGTCTCCCTCCATGCAAAGGAGAAGTCATTGATGAAAGCCTGTAATTTAATGAAAAACTATAACCTGACAGAGAGTGTGTTCTTATGTGTATAGTTAGCTACTATTTAATAAAATCTGTGTACTGAATTGATTTCATTTATAAGTGTATATTGGAATATCTGTGGAAGAATAAAGTGAACATTTTGGGGCTTTTCTGTAATAAAAGAACAGTCTGCATGCTTTACAGTTCTGATGGTTGAGTTTGGATGATAGTGCTTTGTTCAAAATATCTTTTGACCAAAATACAGCTCAGTTCAGTGTTTATGCTCTGGAGATGGTTGTTATTCATTGGATATCTAATGTTTGGTTGCTGATGGGTATTTATTATTTTGAACAACTGAAGGTTTTTGCTGTGGTACATCTTTGGACAAAATAAACCTATGGGCAATTAATTTTTATTTTTAAACAGTGAATTTATTGCAGAAGATGGTAATGAGAAGTTTTGGCAGTTCTTGGAAACGGTGCGGGAATTAACAGTTTATAAGCAAGGAGGTAAGTTAAACAGCATGCTGGTTTTTAATATGTTATCCTGTGCTGTATTTAACTTTGAGACACAACACATTAATTAGTTCCAGGCAGATCAAGCCTGACTCTTCCATTATTGCTTACTGAGTAGGTTTCTTTCAGAAAGTTGTAGCATATTTTCCCCTAAGAGCAAAACTTGCAGAGGAGTTTACAAAAAAAGGAAGACAAGGTGGACTGAACTGCTCTTACAATATGGAACAGAAGTGTAAAGATTAAAGTTATCTGCCTGCTTACATGACTTGCCAAGAGCTTATAGGATATTGAGACTTCATGTTTTCTGTAAGATGGGTGCTTGCGGGGCAAAAAATCACAGAAATAACTAAAATGAGAATGCTAGGTAATGCTGAAGGAAAAATTCAACAATTACCAGAAAAGGTTTAATGCTTTTACTCATAAATGGAGACTGTTTTCTAGCATCAATACTGATGTTTTAGAATAAAGGTTTCTCACTGACCGAATAGGACTTAAAAAGCCTTGCATGATTGGACAGAAGAATATTAAGTTTTTGGAAATTTGGGGAGAAGACCAAAGCATAAAATCCATCAGAAGAAACACAAAAAGCCACCCCAGCAGAAACGTTGGAGAGAAGTTTATTAGAAATGTGCATGGTAATGAAAAATTGGGAGACTGATGGGGCTTCACACCAGGTTGGGCAGTATCAGACCTGCTTGGTAGATCAACAAGGTGAAAAAGGCTTCAAAACAAGGTAAGGCTGCTTCATTCTGCTCTTTATTTACAGGACAGTACAAGTCTTTAGGCATGAGTGCAAGCACCTAACACTGCCACTGGAAGGGGCTTGAGGGGAATTGAATGTTAAATTATTAGTCATAAGCTAACAAATTGTATAAAGATCATGCAGAAAATGACAGTGAGAAGTGCAGGTACATGAAAAATGTTGTATATGGGAGAGAGAACTTGAGAAACAACATGTTTCAGCAATTGTGACTGACTGAATACAACTTTAAAATGTGCATCTGATAACATTATTTGAATGCTCAGCAGTGCCCCAAGCAGCCAGAAGACTTAAAAGATTACTAGGAAGGGAACAGGGACACGCATGGTAAACAAAATTTTGCTGCTCTTGATTCCATGATGTGCTTTTATATTGAGTAAAATGTGATGTTTGACTTTAGTGTCTACCTCTGTTTTCCTCATTGTTTCTTTAGAATAGAAAAAGTACAAAGCAGAAAATGTACGAAGAGCTGTGATTTTAATTACAGAGTATCAACTGGGAAAATGAAAAAAATACCCCAAACTTAATGTGAGATTAATATACCATGGTCAGAAGTATATGCAAAACCAGAGAGTCACTGAGAACAAAATGCCCAGGTGGTGAATGCTGCTAAAAGCCATCCTGTATAAGGCACGGGGACATGGAAGATGGAAGTAGGTGCAGAATTTGACCTGTGGTCAGCTGCTAGTAGCATTTGTTGAGGCAAGTGCTGTTGACTAATGCCATTTAAGGTCTTTTTCAGCCCACGGGATAGTGGCACAAGGTTGGGAATGACACAAAACTGGGAGGAGAATGTGGAAGGTAGGGCTGTAATTAGAGGTTCCTTGGCAGACTGGAGAGACAGGCCAACAAACGCTGGAAAATTCAGCAAGAACACTTTACAGACTCCCTGCACATGGGCTGGAATAATCTCATCAACTGCATAATCTCGGTGCTGATTGACTAGAATTGGTTTTTTGAGAGACAGACTGGGGATCCTTGCAAGCAGTGAGAAGGCCAACTATGTGCCAGGTTGCAGCAGCAAGAGGGTAGCCAACAAGTCACAGTGTTTGTTCACTGTATGAGGCACTTGTAAGACTGAATCTGGAGTACTGGGCCATGCTGGGGCTCCCTGTGAAAAGAAAGACAAGAGTCCATCATTGGAGCAAATCTAGGAGAGCATCTCTGCAGTACTTAGGGAGGTGGAGCAGCCTTCTGAGGAAAGGCTGAGAGAGCTGTGAATAAATCTGAGAAAAGAAGGAGTAAGGAGAGACCTCATATCTGCAGTTTCATAATAGGGAAATATGCAAAGGAAGTGGAACCAGGTCCTTCCTGAAGGTACACAGCAGTATGAAAAAACGCAAAGGACAGAAGTTGAATTATGTAAGTTGTGGTTAGATATTAGAGAAAGTGTTTCTGCCACTTGGGTAAACACTGAAACACTGCTCTAGGAACCTCTGGAATCTGTTAATTCAGATAATTCAAAATTCTACTGCATGAGACCTTGAGCAGCCTAGTCAGGCCTTGAAATTATATATCTAAACAACAGTTTGGATAAGGTGACCTCCAGAAGTCACTTTTAACTTACTTTTTTTTTTCTATGAGTGGTTTAGATGCAATTGGTATTGCTTTGAGATAGGACTGCTGTGTTAGATGATGTGTCAGGGTGTTTTTATCAGACATCTCTTTTTTGCTTGTTTAGACACACTTCCCAAGGGGTTTGAAGCTTTAATGATATTTATTATTAGTGACACAGATGTCTGTTGAAATTAGCTGTTAGTTAAACACCTACTTCACCTGGATAAATTCAGTGATTGAGAATAAATAAATTACAGTAGGATGGTCTCCATGACCTATCATGCCAATGAACTGTTAGATGCTGGCAGTTGGCAACCTTGAGACTGTACTAAAATACTACTTTAATTAGGTATATTGAGTTGTTGATGTGTATATTTATCTGTATGGCCAACAGACACATTTAAAAATAACACAGGAAATTTTGAAGTTCTGGCACCAAGGGGCTTTCCTAAAAGTTGAGTCGTAGTTGGGATAGTCTTAATCCAAGGAAATGGATGCTCTTCATGAACAGGAAGTCTGCATTAGATGTTTACAAGGAACTGCTTGGCTTGAGTGAAGAATCTGGTACTGCAAGACTGCAGTAGCACAGTTTAGTGAGGTATATAATACATAATGTTTGTGGAGAAGTTGGTCTTTTGTTTAGTGTGGAATATGAGTTCTGTCTTAACTGCTGCATGTCAAGACAGACTGATGCAGAGGGATGGTCATGATGTGTTAAAACTGATGTACCAACAACTGCTTCAGTAAATTAAAGGATCTGGCTGGAAAAGGATTGGTTGAGACAATTGACTTTTCAGTTATTCTCCCAGTGATGCCAAGAGTAGACAGGATGAATAAACAGGAAATGAAAGCATTGTTTATTTTTCTAAATGGAAACATTTTCATAAAGGCTAAAGAATTCCTAGATTTGAAGCTGAAAATCTGGTATAAAGGAATTCAATTATAGACTTCTATCCCAACATAGAGTTTAATGTTTCAGAAGAGTTGTAAAGCGTTAAAGCTAGAAGGCAACTTAAAAAATCAAGTGCTTGCTTTTTTTCCTAAATCCTCCCTTGGATTAATTTCAATCTGTTTTTTTTAAAAATAAGTTCTTGTTACTTGTTGTTTTAAATTTAGAATAATCAACATCTCTTGTTAATTTGCTAATTTAAAATATTAGGCATTACTGAATTAGGTTTATTAATGGTCTGTTTAGTTGTGATATTTGTAGCAGTTTAATGGATTTGGTAGGAATTATCTACACAGAATTTGGTGAAACATTTAGTCTGGTGATGTATTTGGTGGTTTTAACTTTTTTCCTTTTTAATATGAACTCAAATCAGCTTGGGCAGCATCTTGATTATAACATATGGAAAATATGAAAATGTTGGTGGTGGGATACACTGTATTGAATTAATGTCCTCAGGGAACCTGGACAACATGGTTTTTGTCTACTTAATGCGCAACATATTTTCTGCCAGGCTTGTGAAATACTAGGAAAGGCAGATGATCCTATTTTGGGCTGCAGGTATATTACAGAGAAATGAAAGCTGCAAAAATTTCATACTAATACCAGCACTTAAAAGGCACTGAAGATGGCATTTTTAACTTGCTGCTGCTTTTTTATCCTTAAAGGTTAATTTGTGATCACTGAGGGAAAGTAAGTAGCCAGTTCCCTGCTGACTAATTATCACTTGAGTGTTTACTGTCTTCCCAAGTGCTTCAGTTTATATATTGAATTTTCAGCAGCCTCATAAATATATATTAAAAACCAAAACAAAACCAACATGCAAACATATTTTCTCTGAAAAAATGTAACTGTATATTTCATGTAAACAACTGTCATGCAAATTATTTTTTGCAATTTAGAAGACTACACATTATTCACAATTAAATTAAAAAGTATTTTTATATGTATATAAACCTTAAAGATTCGAGAGGAATCAGTTTCACAAACTGATTTCTGTACTCATAATGCAATAAAATAAAGAACTCCCTCTTTACTGGTATCTTGCTTGGATGGCAGAGATTTGACTGGCCAGTGATTGCCTAAACTGCTTTTGCCTGAGATCTCCAATTCCCTAGCTGATCTGTAGATCCAGATATTCATATCTATGCACTTGGAGCAATCCTCATCCATCCATCCATCCCACCAAGTAATTATTCCAGCACACTGTGTTCTTCTGATTAATGATGTCCCTTACATTTACTCTCCCTACCTCCTTTAAAGTCTCTTGTGGGTTACCTGCATATATTCAGGTTACTTTGTGCTGCGTGTGCATGAGGCCTGAGGACCTGTGCTATAATACTGTCTTATCTTTTGTGACTGCCCTGGTTGTCTGTTTTAATTATGTTTGACTTGGCTGTGATAAAAGATACTGCTGTAAATTGTGGATAGGAAATGTCAGCATTTAAGTGTGTGTTTGCTTTGCTGGCTGTTCGGTTCTTGCTGTAGTCAATCTAATCAATTTGGCTACAGGAGTCGTTGAGAGTTTTTCAGCAGACAAATTAAAGCATCTTCAGAGTGAGTTTTTCAGGTCTTGTTGGCTGCTAGGCAATATTTCACATGGCTGAGATGACAGTTTGCAGATGTGAAGTTCATACATGTGCCTTCAGATGTCTGCAGTCTGGAGCCGTGTCCTGTTTATGTGGTCTCTTATTTACTTTTAAATTGACTTTGTTGATTATTTAGTAGTAATATGCTGCCATGCAGGATTTTATAACCAGAAGAATCTGGTTCTTTGTGATTCCCTGTAACAAAATAAGAACCTTCCTATGAATTGTACTCTTTTGACAATGTTAAAATGAGCTTGCAGGGCAGGTGGTACCAAATTGAAAGGATTTGGTACTATGTGAAAATAATTTGCAATGCTCAAACCATAGTTCTGATTAACTGAAATTAGCTCAGCTGGTTAGAGCATGAGGGTAAATAACACCAAGGTCACACATTCAGTCCATCAGGCTTAAAGAGTCCACTTAAGTTCACTGTAGTGTTGAACTTGAGGATCCTTGTGGGTTCCTTCCATGTCAGAATATTCTGTGTTATTCTGTGTGTGTAATAAACTCTAAAAATTTGGTTTGCATTAGATAGCTCATAGCATTTGGCATGGATTCATGTGTCTTGGCGAAGTTCAAAGTACAGTTGTATTTTAAGTGAAGCCAACAGTGTTAATAAAAGTTGAAGTAGTAGGAGTGGATGATTTGATAGATCCTTGTCAATGTTGTACAGTCATTTTTGAAGGCAGATTAAAAGACATCTTTTTTTTACTTATTGAAATCATAGAAGTCATAATCGTCTTCCAGGAGAAAATGTCAGCTATTTTAAATACACCAGTGAAAGCACAGATAAAATTTGTAAACAAAAAATTCAAAGACTTGGGGTAAAAATATTTTAAGGTAGTATCTTAAGAATTACATATTTAATGGCTCTTTATTGTCTTTAATAGGATGTTATTTAGGCCAAGTTGAAAGGCAGGAATTTCAAATTTAATTTTACTTTGGTGGAGATAATTTGAAGAAAACTTGAAAATACAGTTATTGGAAAAAAGTTTCAATCTGGAAGGATTTGTTGCTTCCAAATTTTTATATTCAATGTTTTGAATGTGTGAAGCCAAATTTATCTCATTTAGAATCATAGAATGATTAAGGCTGGAGAAGATCTCCACGGCTGAGTCCAGCCTTTCACTGATTGCCGCTCTCAGTTAAACCAAAGCGCCAAGTGCCACATCCAGTCACCTCCAGGAATGGTGACTGCATCACCTCTCTGGGCAGCCCATTCTAATGCTCAGCCACCCTTTCAGCGAAAGAATTCTTCCTGATGTCCTAGCTGAGCCTCCCCTGCCACAGTTTGAGGACATTTCCCCTTGTCCTGTCAGTACTTAGCAGGAAGAAGAGGCTGACCCCAACCTGGCTACAGCCTCCTTTCAGGTGGTTGCAGAGACTATTGAGCCTCCTCCTCTCCAGGCTAAACATCCCCAGCTCCCTCATTTGCTTCTCACAGGACTTGTTCTTGAGAGCTTTCACCAGCTTTGCTGCCATTTGGGTTCTGCTAGGCTATGTATAGGTGTAGAGAACATAGATAGGTTTCTCATCCATTGAATTTCATGTGAGACAGTAACAATTTTTTGTCACTGATTAACCCCAGCCAGCAGCTCAGTAGCACATGCCCACTGTCCTCACTAGGAGGATGAGGAAGAACATTAGGAAAAGGTAAAACCTGTGGGTTGAGGTAAAAACCATTTAATCATTGAAATAAATTGAAATATAATAATAACAACAACAGGAAAAAGAGAGGAATAAAACTTCTCTCAAGTGATGCACAATGCAATTGCTCATCACTCACTGACTGGTGGCCAGGTTGTTCCCAAGCAGAGATTCACAACTCCCAGCCAACTCCCCTGTTTATATACCAAGTGTGACACTCATTGTATGGAGTGACCCTTGGGCCAGTTCAGGGCAGCTTCTCCTGGCCATGCTCCCTCCCAGCTTCTTCTGCACCTCCGTGCTGGGAGAGCATGGGAAATGGGAAGTCCTTGACTCAGGGTAAGTGCTGCTTAGCCACAACTAAAACTTGAGTGTGTTATCAACATTATTCTCATATTGAATCCAAAACACAGCACTGTACCAGCTATTAGGAAGAAAATTACCTCTACCCCTGCTGAAATCAGGACATCACACAGAATTCATTGGAAGGAGCTTTCTTGAAATGCAGATTATGTACTTTTCTAATGTTAGTGTTTTTTTCTAGGGAATTACAGCAAACTCCGCATTTCTAAATAATGAGTTTTAAGGGGGAGAAGGCAGAAAGAAAATACTAGAGGCTTTGAGAGCAAAAGAAGATATTTGTTTCCAACCATGACAGGATTGTAAAGAAGAAAATGAGACGATAGAAGCTGCTTAGTTATGAAAATTGAGTATGCCTATGGAATGAGAATTGAAGGTTAATTATTTCCAACCAATGTTCTGTATTATCACTTTTGTCATTCCCAGACACCATCCACCTACCTTCTTACTCAGAGTCCTGATTTTGACTTTGAAAATGCAAGATATGCAGGGAGCGAGGAAGCTACTTCACATGTTGTATCCATTCTCATACTCTGGTTTATAATATATTTTTAAGGAAGAAATAGAATATGTGAGAGTAGCCCAAAGAATGACACCTTTAGAAGATTTTTATTAATGTAACTTGCATGGTTGGAATGTTTCAAAACTAAATGTTAGGAAATTATTTGTAAAATACTGCTCTATTCAGGCCTCACCACATTGGTTTTTTTGAGTGGGTTTTTTTTATTGCTCAATATTTATGTTAGGAAATTATTTGTAAAATAATGCTCTATTCAGGCCTCACCACATAGGTTTTTTGAGTGGGTTTTTTTATTGCTGAAAGTAATTTCAATATTCACTAGCGCTATTGAGCTCTCTTTTGTTGGTTTTTTTTTTTTTTTTTTTTTTTTTTTCATTAGGCCTCTGGATTCGTAGGAAAGGAAACAGTTATTAGTGAACAACACTGAAGACTTTTGAATGCCAAGCAGCACTGGCATTAATGCTGGCTTATTATATAGTGTAGGTAGATGTGCCACATCATTTAGTGCTAAATACTAAAAGTTTGTCTTTTTTTTCTCTCTCTTTGACAGATTCAGAGTACTCCTATTACAATTTAATCTTGAAGAAAGCAGGACAATTTTTATCCAATTTGCAGATCAATCTGTTGAAGTTTGCACTTTCCATACGGGCTTACTCTCCAACTGTTCAGATGTTTCAGCAGGTGACAGTATTGCCTGATATATTTGGTACATGATTGAATGAGGTATTTTGGCTAAACAATGTTCATTGTTACAGTTCAGTAAAATATATGCCAGTATTATTTGGAATCAAATGTGATAAAGGTGATGCTTTATAAGCTGGTTATATTGGCAGGATCAAATATTCATGTTCAGTTGTATGGATACCATTCCCTTCAGGGTAGATTTTTTTTGCAATTGTTCATTTTTTGAAAAATCAAGTCATGGGGATTTTTTGCATTGTTCCAAATAATGCTGTGGGAATTCAGAGGTTTCCAGAGTAGGACATTTCTGTAACTTCAGGTAATTTATATTTGCTATTTAGTGGATTTGTCATCCTTCTCATTGTTTTAGTATGTAAAAAATTGAAAAATTAGAAAAACTGCCTTTATTAATGAAAAAGTGAGAGGACAAATTCACTGTGCCTCTAAACCTAAAATTGCTACTCCTCCTTTTGGCAATGCCACCTTTAGGATAAAGTGAGAAGTCCATGTTTCTGAAAGGTAATAAGCTGTAATAAAGTTGGGGAGTTTTGCAGGTGTTCTCTGGAGGAATATCATAATCTCAGACTCATGTCTTTTTGGTTTTGCCTTTCAGCTGGTGAATCCAGACTCACTGACATGCAGTCACATGATTCCACTTCATATTGGAATAGCTGAGTAGATTTTTTTAAAAAAGGCAGGGGATGGGAGAAAGACAATTTAAAAAATTGACATTATTTGTTTGAGGCTTATTGGTTTAAAAGTCTAATCTTTGGATTTTAACATGATTGCTGAAGTTAAAAATATCTCAGAGTGAGAATCACAGGCTGTGATTTTAGCTTGTGGAGATGATTTCTTAGTCCTGGCTTTACTGAACATAAATTTACTTTTCATTTACTGGAATATGACTGCATTTAATAGACTACACCTCACAAAGGTGATAGGGTCTTCATCTTTTAATTTTTTTCTTTTTCTTTCTTTTCCCCCCACATGTACCCACTTTTGAACGGGCTTAATTAGAAATACAGCTTAATGGCAGCTGTTGAGTTATTTTAATCAAAGGGATGTGAGTTTAAGTGCAATCAGAGCATTCTGGTTGAGTATAATTGTTGAAATATTAGATTGCAGCTGATGAACCTCCACCAGAAGGCTGCCGTGCATTTGTGGTTATCCATGAGAAGCACACCTGTAAGACTAATGAAATAAAAAAGCTGCTGAAGAAGGCTACCAAGAGGTAAATATAATGATCTGATTTAAGAGGAAAAATAGATTACTGAGGAGCTTAATATTAGTAGAGTTCATGAGTTATGAATCAAAGTAGAGTAGGTCTATGGTTTTAAAATAAAATCATAGACCTTTGATCCTCTAATCATATGGACAATTTTGTATTTTTTCCTTTTTTTTTTTTTTTAAACATGGGGTAGTCAGGTTTAAGTTACAGTGTGCTTTGCTATAGAAACTAAGAGTTTCACATGTCTGACACAGGTCTGTCAGCAGGGTACTTCATAATCAGTGTCACTGCAATTGATGTTGTCTGGCATGCAAGGGCTTGGCACAGGAGTAGAAGAGTAGTCTATCTCATAGACAGGGCATAGAAAGGCATAACCTTTCCTCCCCTCTTGCTGGATTTTTACATATCAGCCCTTTCTGCAGGTTTTGTCCTGTAGAATTAACTTGAGCTCTGAAATAAAATGTGTAGAGCCTATCAAAACACCAGTAACAGAATAATGAAAGCATAATGTTTAATCTCAGTTTTAAAAAAGATATTATTTTGTGGTTTTTAAGACCTCTGTGTAATTTTTTTTTGTTTTTTCTCTCCCTGCAATGGTCACCATGATATACATTAGTGTTCATACCCTCAGCTACTTCATGGTGATATGCAGGGCTGAAAGATTATTTAGTAGGGTATATTTCTTGGATTTTGCTTTCTGTCAAATATAAATTGGGGAGGGAACCATGAAAACCTATAAATTCTTGTCTCTTTGGGGCTCGGTTGCTTCTGAAAATAATTTTGTATTCTACAGGTGTGATTTGTGGTGTATTCTAAGTCCATTGATACAATGACAACCTACTAAATTATTGTCTTTTGTTTATTCAATAGCCAAGGTTTCTGTAAAAACAACTCTGTCTAGTTTACAGTGTCCCATTTTCACCAGTTATATTCTTCTAAAAAATAATAATGTCTAAAAAATGTCTGTTTTTCCTAGATAAAAGCCAAGATATAATACAGATATTTTTATATGTTGTTGAATTCTTATGGCCATATATTAAGGCATCATAAGACCATAACATTTTATTGCAATGTCTGAATATAGTAAACTTTTAAAGCAATTAACTGGATTCAGCACATTCTCCTTTCTGGAGATATTACTTCCAAATTTATAAAGTTCTGGAAAATCACAATAATAAACAGTAGAATCCTGAATTATTTAGAATTGAGGGAGATAGACTTGTAGAAATCTTAAGAACTTGCAACAAAAGTGAAGTTTCTTTATTTGATTGGTCTTCAATTTTCAATAACTTTGCAGTCAGTCATGTCACACCATTCAGAGATGGAGGGACAAAATTTTCATAAATTTTCCCTCCTTCTCACCATTCCAAAAGTAGTTGTGTCACTCAAATATTTAGAGTACCTGGAGCTAGACTCTGAGAAGAACATGTTCACATTGGCATGTTCAGGTAATTGTTCCCACTGTTAGTTCCCTTTGTACTCTGGGTAGCAGAGGCTTCACCTGTGCTGATGATATTTAGGCTAGGTGATAATGGTAGGGCTGTGCTCCTCTTCTTTGCTTTCTACCAGGTGAACAAATGATATAAGGGACAGTGTGCTAGTTGCTCTAAACCAGTCATTCTTTTTCTGTCTTTTCGTAGAAGAGATATTTTTGATTTATTGATTATTTTTTTATTTCCAAGTATTTTCCTTTGTGTTCCTTTCTATGTCTTCTGTCTGTCATGACTCTTCCAGCCTATTTAAGCTATGCTTTTAGTTGTTCACCATATTTGGATGAGGGTGCTAGGATGTCCTGACTTTAGGGACTGATAATTTCAAATCTCACTGGAAGAGAAAGAAGAGGCTGCAGCATTCTTTTTGTGTGGATTCATCATCTCAAACCAACATCCAGGAAGTCTCAGGCTCTTTGGACCAAGACCCCAAATATTCTGCATGTCAGGGTTGAGGTTTTTGGTGTTTCATTCAGTCCTTTATGCAACAGCAACTGTGATTGTCTTTTGCATTTTCAGCCATGTTGCAATGGACTGTGTGGGTCTAATTGGAAATATTTTGTGTGGAGGTGCAATGGCTCTAGAGCTCAAGGGCTCTGGGCATGTCAAAGAACACATGGTTAAATGCTTGGGATTGCTTATCTTGCTGGCTGTCCAAAACACAGCACTAAGGTTTCTGGGGCTGTCGCTGTGAGGAGCAGAACCATTAATAGAAGTCACATTTTGCTCAAAACAATCAATGCCTCATATTTGTCAGTACATGTTTGCTGTCTTCTCTCCCATTGCTTCTGCATCCTATCCTGGGTACTATCTAGACAAGCATGTACCCTGTACTTCCCTAGTAACTGATTAGCAAGTGCTGAGCTCCACATCTGTTCAATTTTTTTATCATTTTCTTTTCGTCTGCCCAGCTGTTCTTCCTTGTCTTTCAGTCAGCCTTCTTATGAGCATCTCTTATGGCAGGAAATTAATTACCTTTCAGTTCTAAGAGCAGGAGAATCAATTACTTGTCACTACTACTCAGTGTTGAAGAGAAACAAAGAACAGAGGCTTATCTTGGATTTACAAGGGCTGAACCCTTTACTTCTCAACCCAAGGTCATTAGAGGAGCTCTGTGCAGTGTTATTTCATTACAGCACTTAATGAACATGGAGCATGTTCATTGTGATAGGAGACTGTCACTATTCAAGTCATGGCAGCATTCAGTAACCACCTTAGTTGGTTGGTTGAAGTAGAGTGGATAAAGTTAATTACAAAAAGAGAAGCTCACTTGATTGAGGTTTTCCACTCTCTCCATGAAAGTGGCAGCTCTTATCTCTGGTTATGAGAAGGAAGTTGCACAAGTCACATCCCACACATATGCTTTTATTGGGGCAAATCTGGATTGGTTCTTCCACAGAGATTACTCATTCAAGAGCCATTTCAGACTCCTGGATCTCACCTATTTGCTCTGCCTTGTCCTGTGATAGCAGTGGGACAGCTTGCCTGATATTTCTGTGACGCCTGACTAGCTGCACCCAAGTTAACTTTTAAACTGGGCCCCTCCTTTTATTTCTGCCTTACAAATGAGTCCTTGATTGCATACCTACCACACTTACATAGGACATTGTTGTTAAAACTCTGAGTAACCTCATACAGATTACTCCTGCTTGAAGTGAGGGTTTGCAGCACATTGCCTCCAAAGGTTACCTTTGCAGTGTAAATGATTCCATGATTTTTTTATTGAATATGTTCCAAATACCTACATCAAGGAACCTGTGGTGTTCTGCTCACACCTTTTGAGCATGGCTCTTTGGTGAGGGTCTGCCACACACAGTTCTGTATTGTGTGTTGAATTAGAGGTTCCTAGCTTGTCTTGGGCATGCTTAGAGACAGCTTAGTGGTTTTTTGATTGTCAGTGCAACTTTGAAAAACTGTGCTCATCAATAATTAGTACCTTGAGTGTATTACTCAATCATATCCTCTGTTACTTCTCCATCTTTCCCGGGTTTTAAAAGATGTCTTTATTCATCTAAGAAATCATTGCAGCATAACTTTTCTAGTCCTGGTTTTCAATAAGGAGTGTAGGTAGGCAGTCAAAATTTGCAAAATTAGCTGAATTAACAGAGTCTGATGGTTTCAAAATAGTATAACCTGTTAGTTTCCAGGTGTGTTGACAGCTTTCTCAAACTTCGCAGAATCTCCCTCTGCTACTCTGTTACTCACTGATTGCTCTGTGTATCTCTGATAGGTGTAATGTATCATTCAAATTAAAAGTTTCAAGCTGTTAGTGATGCACAAAATCTCCAAGTGCTATGCTTTTCATATGCTTTGTGTTGTGATTTGATAAAATATATTTCAGTTATTTATAGCTGGTGCTAATTTTTCAGTTTCTTATACTTAAATTTATCAATTTGTTGTTCTGGATTTGTTTGTGAGCAATCATTATTTTATGATGATTTTAACATGGCACGTATAATTTTAGCGTATGAACACTTATTATTTTTATTAATTATGAACTAGAAAAGCTGCCACTGTTTTAATAATTTTCTGACTTCACAATATCACCATTATTTGTTTTAAAACCAGACCCAGGCCATATCTTTTTAAGGTAGACCATAAATTCCCAACTCTCAAAGAGGATGGCCCAGTGGTTATTCTGTATGCAGAAATGGGCACGAGAGACTTTGTCAAATTCCACAAGATTTTATCTGAGAAGGCACAAAAGGAGGAAATTGTTTATGTTCTCCGACATTATGTTCAGGTATGCAATTCAAATCAACATTGTTTCAGTAAACTGCTAGCATTCTGTCTTTGCTTTGCTTGCTTTTTGACAAAACACTTTTTCTACATTTCTTTCTGCGTTTGCCTAAATTATGTGTAATACACATAATTTTCTAATATTAGAAAATTGTCTAATATTAAAATGCTCTAGGTAAGTCATTCACCAGATACAAACTATGAAGCCAGGAAAGCATGGTAACGTTCCCAATCCTGCATGCAAGCACTGATTGCATTACTGATCTTGAAATATCTCTTTTTTGGTGTTGTACAGTATAAGATCTCAGGTGAATCTTGGTGCAGCAGACTGAACATATTAGTTACAAGAACTAGAAAAATGGAAAGTAGAATAGAGAATCAAACAGAGAAATTACCAATTATATTTTTTACATATTCTTCAGGTAATCTCATGTTCATTGAGATACAGCAGCATGGAGTATCATGGGCAATATCATTGACCAGTTTTAAAATGTTTGTGTTCCATAGTGTCACTATTTGAAACATTATGTATCTGAATTCTTAACTTTCTTTTCTTAGCTTACTCTTAACCCTGACACAAAACAAGAAAAATACCAGTACATGGAACTTATTGTCCCCAGTTGTGATTATTGTAAGGCTTTTGTGATTTATATTCAAAGTACAGCTCTTAAGTAGTGTGACTAATCTGGAAATAGTCTGATGGAGTGAGAGGTTGATGTGTTTTTGTAGACCAGGAATTTCAGGGAGATGAGATGTGTAGTTTGCAGATGACTTTGAGTTGTTTGCACACAGTAATGAAATAGAGAATTTGAGGAAACCAGTCTTGAATTCAAAGTTGTATGAGGTTTAGTTTTTAATGAACTTTGTTCTTTTATGCTTTTATTTCAATGAAATGCCTACTTGCATATTAAATGTCTCATTGATCTGCCTGGCTTATGTATCATGGTCTTCCCAAATGCATGTTGTTTTCTTGCCTGCACCTTTTCTCTCTTCAGACGTCTCTTCCCTTTTCTTCCTTCCTCACAACCTCCATTTTTGTTCTTTGGTACACACTGGGATGGAATGTCCCTCCTTTTTTACGTTAAATGCTAGAAGAGGGAACATTGATAACAGGAGAGGTACAGTCTTTCTGCTTTCTTTTTTTAACCAGTATCACTGAGACTACCTATGGAGTGCTCTCTGCTGCCTCTGCCTTGAGTTTTGCTTGGAGGATGGACAGAGAAGCCTCCCAGCCCTGCTGGGTTTTCACTTGCAGTCTGAAGGATTCTCAGTACAGAAAGGTTCTTAGAAATTAAATGCAAACTAAAGCTCAGAAGGCTTTCAAGAAATTGCTGCTGTGCATGTGCAAATTGTATTTTGGAAAGAGGATTTGCATACATTTGGGTCAAAGTAGGATGTGTTCTGAAATAAGTATGTTTTGTGTACTTGTATGTTTGACTGTTGAATGTCAAACTTCCACTCAAAGAGTTAGAAGTAGCTGTTGTTTGTTTTAAGTGGTAACCTGTTTTTCGCAGTGATACTTTAATACATTTTATTAATACTCCTCACAGAAAGTGATTAATTGTTTTATCAAACTTTTTAAAAGGGTAAGTCTCGTGTAAAAATAGAGTGTTTCCTCTTAGCATCTTGGAAGTCTGGCAACATTACAAAGAAATGAATATCAGTTGAAAATGTGAATTGTGAGGCATCAGTAATTGTGTAGGGTGCTATGAGCTGTGCCTGTTCTAATCCCTCTTCTAGTATTGTATAAAGACTGCAATTCTGGCCAGCCTTTCTGTGATTTGCAGGAGATAAAGGACATTGTCACCTTTTTTTTACATGCCTTCTCAGTGGACTGTCAATATGCCTTGCACTTTGAATTGAAAGATGAATTTAAGTAATCACTTAAGTGTCATGGCATTTCCAAGTTACAATATTAGATATTGTTAATCTCCTTTAAATACATTTTGTAAGTTATGTTTTTTTCTTCTGTTAAAAACATCAAGCAGAAACCAAATTCCAGGAAAATGTATTTATCTGGATATGGTGTGGAACTTGCAATAAAGAGTACAGAATATAAAGCAGTAGATGACACACAGGTTAAAGGTAGGTGGGTTTTTTAAATTATTTGATATCTTGCTGGAGATGCTATTGAAATGCATTAAAATCTTCAGTTTGTAAAATATTCAGTCATTAATATTTTGAAGGTTATACTTAATTTAAATCTACAGAAGGAAATCTCAGATATTAGGAACTAATTCAAAATACATGAGACATTTGTAAAGATCTGTGCTTAGGGCACAGTCAATTTTCTAACCTCTAATTGCTGTTTTCTGTGGCTCTTCAAAATACAATCTGGTCTTCTTCCTCTCAGTAAGTTTGAGACTGTTTACCTTTGTAATTCAGTTACTTTGATTGTTGGCATTGCTCATATTCTAATGGCTACAGTATCTACACATTAGTGTTTCAGGGCTGAGGGTTTTTTTTTTTCTCTGAATTTCTGTGGATATACTTTCACAATCTTCTGTAGAAAAGATGTTGAATAGAATATAGAATGTGGACTAGTGCACATTACAATGTATTGAAATAAGACATTTACTATTGAAAATGGTAACTACAGCATGGGGACACAAATTACTTTGCAGGGACATTCATGAGATAAAAGGAAAGTTAACTCTCTTTCATAAGACTAAGGTTGAATGACCTTTGAGTCATGTCAAAAAATAGTTTAGTTTTTTTTAAAGGGAAAGATGCTGATCTGTGATTTACATCAAATGCCAGCTGGAGATTTAAGTGCTTTAAGGTCATCAGACTTTTCAAGTGTAAATTTGGTAGTAGTTGATTGATGAGAGTTATACCTTATCATTTAATCAAACTGAGAAATGGCTGATTTGTGAATTGTTAAACCACACTTATTTAATTTTTTATATAAAAATTGTTACCACTGAATTAATTATATTAAAATTAATTTAATGTTGCAAAGTTCTGTAGAGTGATTAATTTGGATGCCAAAATATGTAACTATACATTTAATTAAAACTACATCTGGGAATGATGACTTTGTGATTGTATGTTTCTATTAACTGGTTTATAATTCATAAAAACATAATACTACACTAACTTTTTTGGCTTATATTGTGTACATGTGTTATGTATTCAGGAGCAAATGAGACAAAAGAAGAGGAAGATGAGGAAGAGGAGGAGGAGGAAAGTGATGTCCAAGGATTTCTCTTTGGCAAATTAAAGTGAGTTGATATAAGTTATAATTAAACTTTTACATTTGTTTCTGGAACCTCAACCAGTTGGGTTTTTTTAATAGAATGATTGATATTTATGTTGGAAAGTATTTCATTGGTGGAAATTATTTTTTTTTTTTTTTATGTCCTATGAACATAAAGATGCAAGCTTTTTTATTCTTTTAATTTAAATGTATTGCTTTTAGTTTTCTAATTTCTATATTGTAAACTTTTAAAATTAAAAATATCTGCCTGGGTAACACTAACAAAAACTTAGAACATTGTGATTTCACATTTGTTAGGTAATTAGAATCAAAATGTTGGTTTTCAAAATGCAAGAGTAGCACAAGAAATCCAAACACATGAGCTGTATCTCCATAAGGTGTTTTTAAGAAGGATAGTAATAGATTTCATAGAGTTAAGGAGTGATACTTCTAGGAAGATGGGCTTATTATAGATACCATCTCATTCTGGAGTTTGTGAGTTTGTATTCTCCTCCCTCAGGAACTCTTATCTCAAGCTGCAGTCTGTTAAATGAAATTGAATGTTACCCTACTGAGCACTCCTTCCAGTCCTCAGCTGGATTCAGTTTGTGGTGTCAGTCATGCAAATGCTTCCCTTTTCCTGTAACAGATCCATGTCGTGGATCATAAATTTTTTCTTCAGCAAAATACCTCGAGGTTGTGGGTCTTCTCTAGATGTCATTTTCTTATTATTTAAAAAAAAAGTAAACTTGTTTGTAAATATTGTCACTAAACTGTAAATCTCAGACTTCAGAGCTGCTAATTCTGTCTAAATTCTTGAGAGCCCATCCCCTCCCTTCCTGTCTTTTTGTTCACAAACATGTTGAGATAAAAGTGCGCTCGGATCTTGAGGCTTCCCTGTTGTTTCACCTGTATGTTTGAGATTCTGCACAGCAGGTAATGCCAAATGCTTATGCCGTATCTTTATCTGAGCTTTTTTTTCCTTCTTGTGTTTTGCTAGGTTTAGCTATACTTAATCTCTTGATTCTCCACTGTGACTGATTTGTGAAGCTGTCAGATAATTCTATCTTTTTGACATTGTTTCTAGATTCATTGGGTTTTTTTTCTCTTCTCCTTTTCATACAGGAGGTGAAATAGATGTTTCAGTAGTCTATAAATTGTCTCTCTGTTACAGCCATGTCAAAAGTTTTACTTTTCTCAGCTGTGAAATAGTTATGAATGTAAGCAGAAGACATAAAATGTTTAGAAATTTAATGGAGAATTTTTTCAAGCATATCTTAACAGCAGGCTCTGAAATATTTGTCCTCAAAATTTCTTTACCTACCTATTATGTTCTCAAAACAAATAGCTAAGCTTTTGTGTACCATGTTCTTTAGCTCTGACAGATGATTTGTGTGCTCAGTACATTGATTTTGTCAGTGCTGTCAGTTTTTTAAACATGTTTTCAACTTTATATTGCCTGTATCTCGTGTAGTTAATGCCACAAAGAGTGCATTCAGTTACAGTCAATATATAGTACAGTTAAGGTACAGTTAGTTATACATCATCCTATAGCAAGCTAAATAAACAGTTACCTGTATGGCATGGTAACACTATCCCATCTTTGACTTCATTTATTCCATCTAAATTTATGTGGCAGGTTTTGAGACACATCACTGCAAAATAAGTGAACTCCTGGTGTTCAGTAAGAATTTCCTTACAGAGAGAGTTGTCAAGCATTGGGAGAGGCTGGCCAGGAAAGTGGTTGAGTTGCCATGCCTGGGTGGATGTGGCCTTAGGGACATAGTTTAGTGGTGGACTTGACAGTGCTGCCCTAATGGTTGGACTTAAGGACCTTAGAGTTCCTTTCTGACCTAAATGATTCTATGATTCTCTTTAGCTGGGGTTTAGCTCTCAGAAATCACCTTTTCTCACTCAAAATCCATATTTTTGTTTCAATAATGAATTAAAGTTCATTTTTGGTTGTTATCCTAAGAGCACAACATTAGCTGTGAGCAGTACTGTGGATAAGAGCAGACAGTGATGGATGTAATCGATTCTTTTTTGTAATAAAATGTTTCATTGTAGACGGATGCATCCTGACCTGAAAAACAATCTGATGGAGTTTAAAAAACATCTGATTGAAACTACTAACAACATGGAACCACTGAAGGTTTGGGAGATGCAAGGTATGTATTGAATTTTATTTTCAATCAACACAATACTCTATTTAATATTTCTTTTGTTATTTTAATGCATTGGCATTATGATAAAAGCTTTTTTTTAAAGAAGAGACATAATTTCAGTTAAAAACCTTAATACCTGAAGTATTTAAAGGGCATGTTCTGATACTTTGTATTCTGTGCTAGAAATTAAAGGAACATTGAAGCAATTTTATAAGATGGAGAGATATATTACCTGTTTTTCTGCCTAATAGATCATCTCAGGTATTAAAACTTGTTTTAGATACTCTTTTTAGAGGTCAGGCGAAAGATATAATTTTGACACAACTGCTAGGTTGGATGAAATACATGTTAGGACAGCTTGTTTCCTTTAATTTATAAATTTTATCAGTATAGTGGAGTTCACATCGATGCCTTTTTAAAATATAATATCAAGTGGAAGAACATGCTTTTGAAAACTTTCCTGTAGAAAAGGAAAACAAATATATTGATTGCTAAAGCTTATGTGCTGATGACTTGCAGGACACTCAGTAGCTTGAATTAAATATAAATCTCTCATAAAATGTGACAATATTCAAGTTTATGCAAGTAAATTTTCTCTCTTATGGTCTTCAGCTTTAGAGGACAACCTGATCAGTTTGCCTGTATATTAGTGCAGTGAAGGAGACTGAGAAATCATCTGAGCTTGAGTTTCTTTTGGGACCCTGATGTTACAGAGCTTGCTAGCAATGTCCAGTCTGATATTAGCTGTGTGAGATAATTGTAGTTCACGTGCAGTCTCTTTTCAGTGAAGTTCAACTGCAGGATTTATCTTTGTCCAGAATTAAAAACAATTGAAAAATATTGCTTTAAAGTTCTCTTGAGAAATCTACTTTGTAAAAAAAATTGGAAAAGAAAATAATTATTTGGACTGTTTTTCTTTTTGTGTGTGATTGAATGCCACTTGGCTGATATTAAAGCTGAAGCAGCCATGAAACTTCAATCCCTTTAATGTCTGCCTTCAAAAGGCAGTACAACGTTTCTGTTTAGTGGTAGTCTTTTCTGTGGTGTTATGGCTACATATATAAAAAAGGAAACTGGTGCTGCTCCCCAAAGAACCAGTTCTTAGTGTTCAAAGTAGTTAAGTGTTGGGATGCTGTTAATTTATGTCAGGAAGACTTGTAGTGGCTTAGGGTGCAGGATCTTCAGTCTTCAGCCCCCACATTTTTTGGTGCAGTTGTTTTGATACCCTTACTGCTGACATGGCAGGGTGCTTTCTCTAGATCATTCTTAATGACTAATTATAGTGGCTGAATTAATGGCTCAGCTTCTCTCTGATTTCCTTTAATTAGCTTCAAAGTAAAAATCTAGCTAAATTTAAGCAAAACTACTTCAGCTATAGGGCATACTTCTATTTATAAATGAACCTAAACACCATTCAAGAGTTGTCTTTCAAGAGCTTTTATATTTTAGGTAAGTAATTACTAAGTACTTTTTGCTCAAGGTGCCTTACACAGCACTGTGTTAGGGTGCTGCAAGGGGAGGTCTGTAAGTGACAGCCCTGACCAGAGATAACCAAGGAGGTAAAAAGATGTCAGTTGGCATCAGTGGTATTTGAATGTTTGGATCCTAGCTGTTCAGCATAAAATGGAAATTAACAGTTTATGAAGGGTTTTAAGTGTATGGCCCAAGTTTACAGCTTCCTCACTATCTGCAGTAATAGCAGCAGTTGGGTGTTGTGGCTTCAACAGATCACAACTTATTTGCCTGTTAAAAGGGTCCTGAAACCTACTTTTGATTTCTTTTCTTGGTAAAATTATTAAGAAATTGAAGTTAACATTCCACCTCTCGCTCACCTATTTTTTCATCCAAGAAGTATTTTATCAGGCTAAACTAGGAATGTCTTATTCACTTTGATTCAGCCTTTCTTTTTTTAATTTTTATTTTTCTTCCCCCATCCTAGATCTTAGTTTTCAAGCAGCTACTCGAATTATGTCTACCCCTGTTTATGACGCCTTAAAGGTAATGAAAGACATTGCTCAGAACTTCCCAATAAGAGCCAGGTATGGTATTAAGCTTTTTTTTTTTTCAAATGCTATTTTCATGTTTGTATTTGACTGTAATGACAGTAATACAGATTTATATCCAAATCCTGCAGTCACATATTCACGTTCAACAGCTTGCTAGATGGATTCCAGGCAATTTCATTGAGTAGAAGATAACTGCAGGGAGAGCTCATGATCAGTCTCTTAAATGTTTGTCTGATGCAGGAGATGCCATGAGGGCATGCTAATCATTACTTGAGGCTATGCTAATTATTATTATTTTAGGACATGCTAATCATTTCTTAGCTCTCATGGATTTCACTGGACTGATATTTTCCCGGGTGAAAACTTCTGTTCAATTAGTAGCAGAACTAGTCACAGTGGGAAGAGGCAAAATACCATTAATAAATTTCATGGGGATTCACACACATTAGTTCTAAGCACAGTGTTGCTGTTGAGATTGGGCCCTGGCTGTTGTATGGTAGTGTTCTTACTGGGGAAGATCTGTCTTCCGTAACAGATTACTAAATAAAAGTTCAAAAGACACATTAAATAAATGGACATGTTGTGATTTTAGCTATCTTAATATGAAAAATTGTTCTTCTTGTAAGCCAGTAGTACTGTAATTGAGAAATGCTTTTCTTCATACTTATTAAGTTCTTCATGTAATCCTATCAGCAATATTTGCTTGAATTACTGAATTAAATGTGATGCTAAATAGGGTTCTTAACGCAGCGTGCTTTCGCATTTTGCCACTCTTGTTTAATTATCACAGTATTTCATTGTCACCCCTGATTGTCTGGTGGAGAAAATCTACACCATAATGGAAAAACTACCATTGTAACATCTTCTGTCAAGGAAGCAAAATGCCTTTTAAAATGCCTGAAGCATAATTATTATGAAATAGTATGGTATAAGTTTGCACTTAGATTAGCAATCAGAAAATTCTGCTTTGCAGTAGGAGATAGTGGAAGCGTACTTAATGTCAAACTTCAAGTCCAGTTCTGTTCTTTAAAGGACAGGAAAAAAAGTCATTTTGAAGTGTGCCAGGTGACATTTAAATCATGGATTTTACAAGTCATTAAATCGTTACATTCCACTCCAACTCCCATTGTGTATTTGTGGCATTAGAGAGCTCAATTCACCTACTCTTCAAGTATTTTCTGGGTAAAAGTATAAGAAGACTTTAAAATTGTTAAAAGGGGAATCACTGTTTCTGTCCTACATGACTTATTCTAACATGCTAATCTAGCATGTTATTGTAACATGAGAGATTACAAATATTTAATTAACTTGAATTTAGTAGGTCTACACTGACAACTTAAAGGGGCATTGTGTAAAATAGTGCACAGACTAAATTTCATTAATAGTCTAATCATGCTTAACCTGATGAATCAAAATACTAGTTTGGAAAAAAAGCAAAACTAGAATAAACAGGAAATGAAGAGATATTTCTTAGTCACTTTAGATAAATAGCCAATTGTTATAATAATAGTATTTTTAACTGTGTAGTTTTCAGACAGTTTTTATATGAAAACAACCATTTTTTTACACAGAATTTGGTTCAAGAAGGCTGTATGCAAATTTTAGAACTGTAGTAATGAAAATAAAATACTGCATGTTTCTTAAAAACAGGTTCTTTAGACCTTAAAAATAATTAATATACCATTTCTCTGAAATTTTCTTTCATTTTCTAATTTACCACCTGTATTTTTGTGTCTCAGTATTTCCAGTTGAAAAGGTTAGTCTGAGGTAGATTTTACAAAATGTCATCAGATGTAGACAGTGTACCAGCTGATATATGTCATGGCAACATTTTGATAATTCATTTTATAAGGTATTTTTCATCTTTGATTTTTATATACTTGTCCTATTATTGTATTCTTAAAGAGCATGTAATTAGGTATTATAATGCTCTGTTGCTTGCTATTTATTAATCATTCACAAATGTTAACATGACCCTGGGAAAGGTTCCCTGTTTTTCCCTCAACCTTTGATACTATATGGCTACATGTTCTTCCAGGTAAGAATAAAGATGCATAAAACTATAGAGAATATTTCAACCTTAAGGTGATTCAAGAACACCTGCATCATGTAGAAAGATAAATAGTGTCCATTTACTTTCAGCCACTGAAATGTTTTCTCTTTAGTTAGTCTTTCAATTGACAATTACAAAAACATAAGTAAAAGTTTTGTGAAGCTCTGAACAAATTGAACAAAAGAGGGAACTCAAAATGAACAGATCTCTTTCACAGCTATGCTTGTTACCTCAGGTTGGTAGGGTGTCCTTTTCAAGGGTCAACCATCACACTTTCTCCATTAAATTATGCTAAAATCCTTCAATGTCAAGTGCCATGCATGAACAACGAACTGTTCAATGATTCCTTGCATTGCTTTCCTATTACTAGAACAACAATCTAAGGCTTACCTTTTGCTGATGGGTATTTTACTTCCTTGCTAATGTTGGACCACCTTTACATTTTCCTTTGTCTTTTTTTATTATTTTACCATTTATGTTTTATTGTTCTGCCCAACTACTCACAGTTAGGAGCCATTTGGATATATACAGGTTGTCCTTTTTATCTGTGCATTTTTATCAACAGTGTGTGCTTATGACACCTGCAGGCCCTACTATTTTTGTTGAGTTCAGCATGATAAAATTCAGGTTTTTAAAGTATTTTTTGAATTTTTTTACTTCAGAACTCTGTAATACCAAGCTTGGAAATGATACTGTTTGCTCCTACACTATGTCTCTTTGGTGGTCTGGAAAGCTTGAATAGTTATTTAAAGTAAACTGATTTTATGTCTTATTTCTGACATATTGTGAGAAATGTGGAGTATACTGGCAAGATCTACTCTAAATCAGTTTCTTTAGGGGGGAGATGAGAATTTATATTATTCAATGCTTTATTTTCCACAAGTTTGAAACTGGCTTAGCAGGGTCATTCTCAGTTTGCTTAGTTAACTTTCAGGTTTAAGATGATTCCAGTTTTTCTTGAAGCCCTGGACAAATTTGCTAAAACATGTGCAGTCCTGTTTTGAAAAGAAAATGTTCATATAGGCAACTAGAACATTTATTTTGGCATTTGTCAGGATTTAGTTAATATGGTTTAGGTTTTTTTTAAAACATGGAGAGATTAATTTGCCTCTGAAAGTGTTTTATGATAAGCCTGATAATTATAAAATTCGCAAACAATACGGTGTGGCACGGGAGGATAAAATAGTCTTCCAGAACATTCATCAAAGGTAAAAAAGACAAATCAATGTGTTACCTTCAAAAGATGGAATGACTGAGGTAGCTAAAACTTTTTCTGTCTGTGAATGCCTAACATTTTTAAGGGTCTCTATCTGCATATTTCTTTTTTTCTAAGTCTCAACTAATTTTAAAGTGGTCATTGTTTGCATGCTTTCCTTGCCTTTGTCCAGACGAATCCATGGCTCTCCATGCTGTAAAGTTGAGTACCATGGAGACAGTAATATTAACTTAAAATATGCAAATATGGTATGTATTCAGGTAATAAATTAGATGACCAAACAATTTACTTTTTTTAATATACATCCGGAAAAACAAGCCATGAGGAAAGATTGAGAGTGGTAAAAAATACATTGATGATATTACTGCAAAAAAAAAGAAAACTAGCCTGAATCTGAAATGTGGGTTTACTAGAGTAAAACAGACCTATATTTGTCTTAAAAATTCAGTATTTATGATACTGCATTGCTCTTCTTTGTAAGACTTAATTACAGCATTCTTCAGTTACAGCGCATTGGATGTTTAATTAAAATACCAATTTAATGTAAAATAATGCTATTTTAAAAATACGGTGATTGAGTGATACAAATATTTTATTTTAACAGATCATTGACAAGAGTACCTGTAGACAAGAAAATGCAAAATGAAATAGAAGCAAATCAGAAGGTTTGTTTTTATTTCTTCCAATGGACATTTGAACTACTCTTGTATTGCTGATTTTGGAGTTTTTTTTACTGTAGCAACTTTCATGGTTTTTGTTAAAGAAAAAGAGCTAATTGTTCTAAAAATCTGTTGTGAGACAGGTAACATTTAAATATGTAATTCAAGTATTTCACTTTCTGCTATTCGTGAAACTTTCTCCATTCTCTCTTTTGGTTTTACAGAATTAGGCAAGGCCAAACAATTTTCATGGAGTGTTGAGTCACAGATTGTGTGCTGGGAAGGCAAAATAGGTATCAGTTACTTTTTCTATGGCTTTGGTGTTGAATCTAAGCCTGCTGCCTATATTATGGTCAGCAAATGCAAACTTTCCACACTCTCAGAATCACACTTGCAGTTATTCTGCAAGGTGTTTTGAACATCATCTGTGTCAGATGGTGGTTTTGTTTTCATCCTTGATTCACTGCATCTTTTTGTGCCTTGTACCATGTGAGGAGTCCCTGTTTCTGTGATTTTGACGGATCGGAGATTTTTTCTGAGATGCCACTTAATATTTGTTGAATTTGTTATGTCTGTCTCTGTTCAGTTTGGATTTTTTCTTTCAAGTTGAGTGTTGCAGTTAAATGTTAGGCACAATTCTTGTAGGACTTGTCATGTGAAATTACATCAGTGACTGGTCAAATGAAATGATTGGGAGAAGTAACTTAAGATTTGGCTCTGAAACAAATTACAATTGATATGTGTGATTGGTCAGCTGAATCGCTTCTATGATTCCATTGATGTATTAACTACATTAGGAGGATTTTATGCACCTATCACACTAAGTTTTAATTTCATGTGAGGTCACATCATTCCTGTAGTCTAAAGGCCTTTATACAGCTAAAAGCTAAAATTTGTTGAATTAAAGTAAAGAAACTTCCTGAACACTGCTGCTTGAGCACAATAAATTGTCATGTGCATTCTTGAACTGCAGTACATCCATCTAGCAGCAGGAGAGATATGATCCCATGCTGTGTGTAACTGGATGATTCCCTCTCAAGATAATGAAAGTTGAATAGGAAATGCAATGGGAGGAAATAAAGTTATTAAAAGTGAAAGACATGTGATGATTTAGGTGTAATGAGTTGATACCTAAGCAAGAAATAGACAAAGAACTGCTATAGATAAAAGAAAAAAATAAAATCTCATTAAACTGAACTCACAACTTGCAATGCAGTAATTTGGTGAAGTTTATCAAGAAAATATTACATGAATATTATCAGCCTTAAATTCTAGTGTTGGATGCCTGAATACTCCTTCCATCAGCGTTTTTATGACAAAGTCAATGCACTTCTAGACAATCAAGTATCTAGCATCAAAATTGTATTAAGAGTTTTACTTCTGATTTATGGATAACTCTAAGTATCTGAAGGGAGGGTGTCCTGGAGATGGAGCCAGGCTCTTCTCTGTGGTGCTGAGCAATAGGACAAGAGGCAACGGGCAGAAACTGATGAGTGGGGAAGTTCCACCTGAACATGAGGCAGAAGTTCTTTACTTTGTGAATGACTGAGCACTGGAACAGACTGCCCAGAGAGGTTGTGGAGTATCCCTCACTGGAGATATTCAGGAATGCATATCTGGACACTATCCTGTGCAGTGTGCTTTAGGATGACCTTGTTTTGGGAGAGAGATGGGACCAGATGACACACTGTGATCCCTTCCAACTTAACCATTGTGCAGTTCAGCTCAGTTCTTTTCCTATTTGCATTTCCTACTTACATTTAACTATGTGAAAGTAACCACACTGCTTTACAGAAATGATACTATTTTCAATGTTCTCTTATTTTTGCTCTCGTTTGTCAAGTTACAGGTTTATATCAGGAGTGATATGCTGAGCCTGAGTTGATTGCTGTAGGCATGCTTTTCTTAAAGTACAGTTTTTGTTCACACTTACTTTTGCTTAGCAAGTGAGGGCTAAATTGGGGAAAAAATTACATCTTTCTCTTGTGTATTTTTTCTCTTTTCTATTTCTCTGTTGAGAATTAAGGCAGATCTGGAAATCTGACTGCTCCTTCTGTCATGAGTTAGAATACACTGCTGCTGTTGCTCCTGTCACTTATCTTGCTAGAGACTGAATGGTGTTGTGCCTCAGAGCTCTCTGTAGGAAAATGATAATACATACTTTACTCCCTAAGTACCACCTTCCTCTTGTATTTGTTTGTTGTGGATCTTTTCTTCTTTGCCAAGCAAAGATTCTGTCCCTTTCTCATCTGTGTTCTTTCCATAGTCCCTTTGTTATATGAGATTTTAAGTTTCTAGTCTGTTTTTCCTAATTCCCTGAAACAATTCAACTACAGGTTTTTCAGAATTGAGAGATATTACTTAATTGAGAAAGCTGGTTTCAAGTGGAGGGACACATGTAAGGTTTCCCTTTGCTGAATGGATATATAGAAATAATTAAAAAACTTACAAGCTGTATTTCTGTATGTGTGTATTTTCACTTTCTGTTGGCAAACACTGGGAATGTCCTTTTGTCTGCCTTGTATAGGTAGGTTGTTTTCATTTGTATCTGTACATCAGAAGTGTGTTAAATAGCACTCATAAAATATGTGGTCATTATTTTTTACAACACTCAGAAAAAAGAAAGAAATTGTGTGGAAGAGATTTGATGTGTCTGTTTCATAGAATTGCTTAAGTGTGTTTATATATGTTAGTGTAGACATATACCTAAATAAGTAAGCAGTACTTTTTACTTTTTAGCATTTCCATGAAACACTTGGAATTCAACCTGGAGAAGCACGTTTATTTCTAAATGGCCTAAATATTGACTTGGATTTTCAAGATCCCTTTAGGTAAGATGTACATTTTGTTTGAAGGTCACAGACTTACTGATAATACTGGGGAGTTATGCTCATGGTCCTAATCTCACCTGTTGCATTTTGGGGCAAGGAAGCATTCCAGTAGGAGGAATACTGATTTACAGTGGTTTTGCTTTGAGTATGGACATTGTATAAGTAGTTGAGAATAGCCTTTTCTCTTGGAATATGCTTTCTTATATGCTTATAATTTTACAACTCACCATGTCAAATTAGTTTGGAAATGAAAGGAATCTAACACATGCTTCTAAAAAGCTGTGGAAAGCACTTTATAAAAAAGTAAGTAATACTTTCCTATCCCTGTTACTTAACAATCAGGAACATACAGACATGAAGGCAGTCACAAAGTCTTCCCATCTTGCTGCTGTGTAGTACTTCAGGGTTTTTTTATTCTCAAATGTGAAATTTCAGATTGCAGCAGATGTTCCAGAGTCCCATTGGGTCTTCTGGGAGGTTTTAGGGTATGGCTGTGTGTTTGATCTGAGTTCTGCTATGGTACAGGCTTAGAGTTCATCTGTGTCTCCATCACTTGTTGTTTGCTTCTCTACGCACTTGCAAATCTGCTTCTTAGGGTATCCCAGCTTGGATGGATTTCTGCCTCAGGTAGGACAGTGCAGTAAGAAAGGTTTTACTCTGCTGTCCTGCCACTTCTTACTAAAGATGGATAAAATTGCTTTGTATAAAATAAATCTAAGTGAATTAAAAAATTGTATAATCTCTTGTGAATATGTTTTGAAATAAGTTAGAGGCATAGTGTTATTAACTGATGTTGTTTTAAACATTAGGCTGTGGGAGAATATAAAGAGAAAGCATTCGTAAGACTATTAACATGAAGATTGTTTTTAGTTCTAAAAATAATTTTTATGTCATGACAAGAGATCTTCATAGACGTTATGTACTTTATCTTCCTGGAAAAGCATTTTAGAGACTCTTAAACTGGAAGGAAAAGTGATGCATGGCCTTCATGAACTTGGAATCAAAGGGGAGACCCTGAGTAAATTTATGAGGCTCCAGGTACATCCAACAGATAATAATTATGCACTCGATATTCGTCACTCTTCAATAATAGTAAGTAACTAAAGTTATTTATTTAGAGATTACAGCTTTGATAATTCTCTGTATGAAACAGTTGTTTCTTTTTTTTTACTGCAGTTGAAATACTCTTCATAAGGCCATAGATCAATTAGCAGTTTAAAATGTTTTCAAGGGTAATATTCCTTCAATACTTTTATGAGTAATTTTCTCTAGATTTTACCTTATTAAAATATGAAGATATAGTGTGTTTAAAGGAAAAGAAAAATATATTTAGAGTAGCTGCACACTCCAAACTATACAATTTGTCTTTTATATCAATTAATGTAGCTACATAATACTACAGAATATCTCATTATGCAAGACTTCTAAGTGAATTTTGGGCCGCTTAATATATTTATTTCTAGCTGTCCAATGACTCTGATTTTTATCCTTCTTCAAAATTTACACAGGTTTCATTACAGAGGTTATGCACCAGGAGAAAATGCACAAACCAAAACCACTACAGCACTAAAATATTACTTTCTTGCACCTGAAGGAGCCACATTTCACTCTTCTGTTTGCCCTAGCTTGCACAGAAGGGAGTAGAACAGATCAGCCACATGTTAATTGGCTATCTTAATTTTGATCTATCTAAAGTTCTGTTGCTGCACTCTGAAGATAAATACTGTACATGGATTACAGGATGGTTGTGCTGTGTTACACACATCTGTGTGATACATTATTATGATGTTTGTATTGTGAAAGTAATTTCACTGTTGAAAAACAATGGTTTTATTCACATCCTTGTACACAGTACTAATGGTCCTTTCTCCTTTTCCATCCAGTATTAGTTTTATTGTGTACTGCAGATAAAACCAGTTTGATTAAAAAGAAAAAATGAAGATAAAATTTAGAATCTATTTCCTGTTATTATTTAACAAAAGAAAAGGAGACATTTTGTAGTGTTATTGTGCCCACTTATTTCTCTCAGTGTTCAATGCATGTTTTCTAAATGGCAGCTTTTTTTTTGTTTTAGTGGATTAATAATATAGAACAAGATCACAGCTATAGCACATGGCCTGAAAGCTATCAGGAACTGCTAAAACCCTCATTTCCTGGATTTTTACATGAGATTAGACGAAATTTATATAATTTGGTAAGTTTGGAGAACTTTGGGGGTTTTTTGCATACTGTAAATGTTAATATGTGGGCAGACAATTTATTAAAAAATACACATTTTAGATTTTTTGTTAAGTTTTCTATGTGGATCTGCTAAGATTAGTGAATACTGCTTTATCTAGTGGGACATATGTGGTTGTTAGTTTGATTTGCTGATGGATTTGGGCACAGTTTTGTGAATAGTTTTTATATTCCTTTCCATGCTACATATAGAAAATTCACTCCTGTCAAAGCATGAGGGAAGGTAATGATAGCTGTCCATGCTTTAGAGATGGTAAACTGAGGTACAAAGATATTTAAGTGATAAAGCATACTAGCTATTTTCTTGTAGCTTAATTTTTCCTCTGTGAATAGGATTCTGTATCATTTAGTAAGCTAGGGAAGCAGCTATTGCTGATTTAAATGAAAATTACAAAAGGAAATCTTACGAACCATAGAATCATAAAATAGTTTGGGATTAAAAGTTGTCTAGTCCAGCTCTCCTGCAATGACCAAGGACCAAAACTTCACCCAGCCTGTTCTTTAGCAATTTAAATGATGGTCCATCCACAGCTTCTCTGAGCAACCAGTTCAAACCAGCAAGTTTGTTATCTCACCATCCTCATTTCTTCATATTCAGTTGAAATCTGCCCTCTTCTAGTTTAAAACTGCTGCCTCTTGTTCTATCACTACAGTGTCTCTACTGCTGGTAAAAAGAGTCATCTCCTTCTTGTAAGTCTGCCTGTCCTCATAGGAGAGGTGCTCCAGATTCTGATTGTTTTTGTGGCCCTTCTTTGGATCTGCTTGAGGTCCATATCTTTCCATGGTGTCTCAGCATGGCACAGGGACAGAATCCCCTCCCTGGCCATGCTGCCCATGCTGCTTTGGATGCAGCCCAGGACATGTTTGGCTTTCTGGCTGTGAGTGCACACTGCCAGCTCAAGTCCAACCTCTCATCCACCAGCAACTCCTAAGTCCTTCTTGGCAGGGCTGTCCTTGATCTGTTCATCCCTCAGCCTGTGTGGATAAACTGGAGTTTATCCAGCCCCAGCCTAGATGCAGCACTTTGTATTTGGCCATGTTGAAACTTGTGAGGTTCCCATGGATGCACTACTTGAGCCTGTCCAGGTCCCTCTGAATGGCTTCCAGTCCTTCCCATGTGTCAGCTGCACCACTCAGCCTGCTGTCCTCTGCAAAGCTTCCCCCTGATGTAGTTGCCTGAAATGATGCAAAATTTGTGTGTAAAAAGACAATGAAAATACCAGCAATAGGTGATTAAAAAGTATGTCTATAATGAAGTGTAACATGTGTTTAATATGAAGTAGATCACATTACATATTCAGGGTTAAATGTAAGAGTTGTAGAAATCTATAACACACCATTTCATTATAATCTGAAGGGGAGTGTTCAAAATTTTTCAAGTTACTCTGCTTCATTTCAGCTACTCTAGCAAATTTGATGAATTGTGAGGGGAGTTTGCAGTGCAAAGTTGAATAAATGAGGTACAGATGTCCAGTTAAAGCTACATAAGGGTAATTTGCCTATGCAGACACATCCCAGTTTTAAATTCTGTGCATGCCTGAAAGATCTGAGTTTATACTCCAAGCTACATTAAGTGAAAGAGTGAATATAAAGATAGGTGAGACAGGAAGGAAGAAATCTTCCCAAAAGCTCAATTTTTTGCTTGAAGTTTGCAGCCAAAATATTGTTGATTTATTTTTGTTTGGTTTTCACAACAGAGGAGAGTTTGTTAAAAGATGTAACAGAAAAATCAGCACTATATCTTTCTAAAATAAATATGGAGTTTATTAATAAATACAATGCAATGGCACAGAGTCTTTCAAAGAAGAAAAGTTAGATCACTTTGTTTGAAGTTCACTGAATGGTTAAATCTTATTTTCACTATTTGGTCCAAATTCCTTAATTCTGATATTATTTTCATTTATAGTCTTAATGTTTTCTTACAATGAATGCTCTAAAAAAATTGAAAACAGCTGGGGCGTACAGGTCCTTTGGAAAATAATGTTCTTGTCTTAGATTTTATGTCTGAAGAAAAAATAAAACCAGATATCAAGAATAAATATTGGATACCTGATATGTTTTCTCTTCTTAGGTACTTTTTGTTGATCCTATCCAAGAAGATACTGGTGATTATATGAAGCTGGCAGAATTATTCTATCATCATGATGTACCACTTAGGTAAGGAAAACTGAAAGTCTTGAGGAAAAATATTTTAAAAAGGATTCTTCCTTTTTCCTTCTTAATTTTCTATTCCACTGGATGAGGATGTGAATTTGAGTTAAATCCAATGCAACAACATTCTAATAAGGCACACTGGTTACCCATTTGTGTCATGCTTACTCAGGTATTAAGTATTCTTAAGCAAATAGATTGCAAGGTAAAACCTACCTGAGTGTGTGTAAAATGAACTGCAAAAGTCTGATAAAAATTTATATTGTCAAATAGTCCCACTGGGTGCCCTTATGAAGTTGCATTCTAATAAAAATATTTGTTATGTAAAGCATGCTTTCAGGGAATTTTTAAAATTCAGTTCTTTCAATTGTGGCTGCTTTATCTAATGTTGTTTCAATATACACTCTTAAAGACCAAAGTGAGATTATCCTTATCGAGTTTTGAATTTCTGAAAGTGATCATTTGAGAGAGAGACACTTCTGAGGAAGAGTCTGGTTGATCTGAGATACCTAGTTGTAAAAAAAAATGAATTGGTCTCAGAAATGGCTGTTTATTTCCAAAGCTTATAAAAGAAGGATATCTAAAGTTCAGCCATATGAATTGCATGTTAAATATTTAAAATTCTCCTGTGAAATGGCTTTTTGTGTCCTCAAGAAATTACAGGTGTTTCATTTTACTTTAAAATTTTACTAGTTCTGATCTTTTTTTGTAGTTGCTTTTCTTAATATTTTACCCTTCAATTACAAAAGCATAATGAAAGACAGATTGCAGTGTTCTGTGTGTCTTCATAGAAGGGTTTGGATTGGAAGGGACCATAAGTGTAGTATAAGGTTTGGGTTGAAAGGGACCATAGTATGGGCTAGTCTCATCCAAGCTTTTTACATGAAAGCAGTATCAATGCACCACCTCCAATAGCCTTTTTACCTCCCAAGCCTCTCATTCCTTTGGGTTTTCTTTCATTGAATGGAAATGTAGGGGTTAGTAGGAGGTGTGTTCAAAACCGATGTGAGTGGAGAATGAACAGCAGTGTCAGGGTGATGGAAAGCCCAGAAGGTTCAAGGGTTGAGAGAAGGACTGGTAGGAACAGCACACACTGATGATGGGACATCAGTACCTCAGCATTGTCTTCATGCATCTACTCAAGATATCCCTGTCAGGAAAAATAAAAGACAGAGAATGCCCAGACTAAAACAAAGACTCGAGCCATTAAGAGATGATGGCAGGAATGTAAAGAATCAAAACCTTCATACAGGTAAGGAGAGAAGGTACTGTGATTAAACCCTGTTGACTCACAGAAATCTCAATTATTGTCAGCTGTAAAAGGTATATGTAAAGTCAGTACACAGCTGGTAACCTAAGCCTGCTGTAGAGCTGATGAAGGATGCATGGCTGGTATCCTGTGTCACCACAAAGTCATGGGAGCACACCCAGGTACAGGGTTGTTATCTCTACGTGCTGGGCAGATCACTTGAATGCAAACATTTTGTTCTTTGTGTTTGTGTTAGAATTTGTGTGAAGCAGATATTGTGTTAAAATGCATGATCTCTTTTTATTTTTTTTATAGAATTGGAATAGTTTTTATTTTAAGTACAAAAGAAGAAATTGATGGAAATGAAGATGCTGGAGTAGCTCTTTGGAGAAGTTTTAATTACATTGCAGAGGAATCTGACACCTCTCAGGCCTTTATGTCGATAATTAATGTTAGTTCTTTCATGAGAAATCATCTATTTACTTCTGGTTTATAACTTATTAATAGTTAGGGTCTTGCTACCTTGTGATAACATAAGATGTATGCATTTACTTTATGCAGAAATGAAGTATTAAAAGCATGTATAGCATTAACAGTCTATAGAATTATTTGCAGAAATACTTTCTTCTTGCATCAACAAATTTGCTCTTTTAATTTTGCTTATCAACAGGTTTGCTTCAATAATATAAAAAAGTAGGTGCATGCCTTTCAGCTGTTATTATTATGAAAAATTATTCTGTATTATTGTTAACATAATGGGCCTGTCTTTGTGTTCTGTGTCTTTTGGAGTACAGGGATTTTAATGTCACTTTGGCAGTCCTGTAAGATTTGAAAAACCCTTATTGTCTAATGTAGGAAGTGAAACAATAAGAATTTCTATTCTTTGCTCATGCTTGAGCTGTCCATGGGTGCAGAAAGCATAGAAGTATTCCAGATTTGCACCTTAATGCGGCAGGTTGACTTTGTGAGAGAATGCAGATTCTTATAAGACAGAAATTTCAGAGATGGGAGGTGATTGGAGGAGAAATCATATGAGCCATCTGTGTAAAGGCTCTGTGGGTAAAAGGCTATTTATACATAACAATTTTTCTTCCATTTGTTTTCTGGTTTAATGTTTAGTGCCTAGAAAATGTCATGGTGTCATGAACAAACTTAGAGAGCTTAACATTGAAGGAATTGAAGTAACTAGGAATACCTTGGAAGAGAAACCAACAAATGTTAGGGAGCTGACATGCATGTGTAACAATTATCCAGGACTAGATCAAAAACTATAATTTAGTGTGCTTTTTAAAATGTTGTATTCCTCTCTTTACTTTGTTTCATAATTTAAGGGGGGATGATAAATATAATTGAAAGTGACCAAAAATAGAAGCAATAATATAAAGTTTGAGCTATTCAGAGCTATAGAGGAAAACATTGTTCCTCATTTAAAGACAAATGAGTAATTTTCACTTCAAATTTTTATTCTGTGTATAATGAAAGTAATAAAATACTATTCTATGAAATTAAATAACATTGGTAAGGAAAAATTATTACTTTAGAAAAAAGTATCACTGACTAGTTTAGGCTCGGATTAATAATGGATTCACATAACTATCCATGTTAGTTTATTGAGAGAATTTAGATTACCTCTTCAATTAGTAGAGAGAAATAACCTTTCACATTTAGCTCACATAGGTGTATTTCTTTGGCCACTTCAGATTTAGACTAACGGTGTAATAATAGATCAATCAGGACAGTGCTCTAATAACAAATTGTGCATATGTGCAATGGTGTTAATTAGTAAAGCAGTATAAAAACTGCAGTACAGCAATAAAAGCAGTATGAAATTATACCAGTATAAAATTTGCTGGCATACTATAAAAATATTATACTTATTTATTGTTTATTTACTTCTATTAATTTTATCAAGTTGTTTGACAACTTAATACATTTTGTAATTTCTTTGGGTTATAATTCTTGCAGATGTACCATGAAGTGAAAGATGGGAATGTTCTGACAGTGGATGATGTGAAACACGTTCTTAGGAGTGAGTACCCCCATGCTGATGTTCAGAGTATCCTGAGTGTTCGTTCTGAATTCGATGAAGGGAGGAAGGTACGTTGAGAGCTGTGCTCAGTAAGAAGTACTGCAGTGAGTGTGTACAACTCAATGCATTTACTAAGTTGAGGGATTGCTAAATATTAAAGCAAGTAAATACAGCACCTTTCAGTAAAATTTGTCTTCAGCCACCATTCAGTCATTAATGGAAATGTTGTAAAGGTTACTGCATTACTAATCTCACTGTGAAAGTTTACTCTTGCCTGCTGCTTTCAGGAGCCACAAGTATTTTTCTAGTAGGCATCTCAAGGATCTCTCTTGAATTCTGCTTTTTTCTCAAATAAAGCTTGACTTGCAAATGTAAAAACCTTTTGAGTTTTTTAGGGTTCTTTCTTTGGTAAAAGCAGATTTGACTGTCTCAGGGTTCTTCTCTGATGTTATTTGCTTCATTTTTATTTTTATTTAAAATAAAATAATAAACTAGAATGTTAAGCAAAATGAAAAACAATTTCTCAGCAAGATGTTAAAGCAAAAGTTCACACAAAGTATATGGATCTATAATTCCCTTTGTCATTCTCTTTGACAAATGAGTCCCATTTGTCCTGTAAGGTTTCCAATCACTTTGTTTTGTCCCTGCCACTGATGACAAGGTGTGACAGTGAAGCGCGCTTGGAGATTAGAGCTCATCCTCTCTTGATACTAGTTTCATTTCTTTACTACAGTCAGCCACAGTCTGTTTAATCCTGTGATATTTCTGATCTGATCAGGCAGGAGCAACCTTTTACAAGAAGAGCGGCCTGGGCCCGCTGCCTCAGGCGCTGTTTAATGGCGTGCCCTTTCCCAGGGAGGAGATGGATGCGGCAGAGCTGGAGACCCTCATCCTTCAGAGGATTTTTGATGCCGCCGGCTTCTTCCAGCGGGCAGTGTTCATGGTATGCTTCACATTTCTGAACGAGTGCAGGGTGAAGCATTTGACAGTGAATTGTTTCAGTCATGTTTATATGTTATGGTTTTTTATAATGAGATGGCTTGAAATTAGTAATATTGCACCTGCAGTTACATCGTTACCATCATTTGTGGTCGTGGTTTCAAAAGAGTATATTGAAATTATTCAAGGCTGAAGGATCAGCTAAGCATATAGTCATTATATGGAATTTTTCAACCAGAAGCTGAGAATGTACTGCAGTTGTTCATTGAAAAATGTATATCTGATATTTTGAAATACTATCTGTGTGACATTTGTATGGTTTTGACCTGACATTGTCCATATATATATATGTTATATATGTTTCCATATATATATGGAATATATATGTTTCCATATGGAGTATATATGTTTCCATATGTAACTTGATATATATATAGAAACTCTAAGCTCAGCTAAAAGATGATACAAATACCTGGTCTTTATTTGTCTTGAAAAAATCTGTCTTAAAAATAAAATTTTACATTTTTCTATTACTCCAGGGTTTGTTAGATGATAATGTAAATGCAGTGGATTTTCTTATGGATCAGAACAATGTAGTTTCCCGTATAAACCCCAGTATTCTTGGAGCAGAAAGAAGATACATACATTTCAGATCCACTCCTGGTAACTCCTTGTCTTGGATATTGTTATGATTTGTGGGTTGGTTTTTTTTGGTTTGTTGTCATATTTTAAAGCCTAATACTTTGTGTCTTACATTATGCAGTTCCATTTAATGTGGAAGACTTCTCTACTTTCTCCTTTTTGGACTCACAAGATAAAAGTGCTGTAATTTCTGATAATATGAAGTATTTAATAAAAAAAGGTAAATAATTTTCTGTATACGTTATCTATCTGTTTACGACTATTACCAATTGTTGAAATTTACCAGTAAAATATCCCAAATCAGTCAATATTCCAAGGATTCCATGTAAAGTAAATATTTCTCAATATCCCAGTATCTTCTATCAGGAAGCAGAGCATATCTGACTATTATAAACGTAAATTGTAATTAACAGGGTAGTTAGTTTTTGTGGCTTTGAAATGGGATGGATGTTGTGGCTAGTTGTTTTTGTTTTACAAACATGAAGTTAAAAACCTTTATAAGACATCTGCAACTTTGAAGATAGACTCGGCTTCCATACAAATGGTTTTACTTGAAGATATTAAAGTCAGTTTGGTTTTCAAGTGACTCTTAGTTGCAGCATTGTCAAGGGCAGAATGTATAGAGTTTGTATGTTTATATCAAAATTAGGTATTTCTGAATTTAAGGAATAATTTATTATGTTTCTAATTTATTAAATATCTCCTTGGTTTTCCTCTAGTTAGATGGTTTAATTTTGCTGAGCGAGCCTTTGTCTTTCTATAGAAAAAAATAGAGTTTAAATTCTGATGAATTATGACTCATTTATACATTTTGTCTTTGTTAAAACTCATCCTGTACATGTTTTTGTACAGCATTTCAAACGCTTTCTTATATAAAATATTTTCATTGCATATGCAAGTACTTTTCCTTGAGTGAGAAGATATTACCACAATGGGATCATAATTTTGCATGGAATTTTACAATAGTCTTATTTTACAATAGTGTGTGCCTTATGAAACAGCTGCTCATTTACATCAGTCCTTCAAAGGACACAAAAACCCTCTTAATAAAGTGCTTTGTTTCAGTGCTTTTTATGTGGTATTTACAGAATTTTACTTAATTCATTATCAGAAAGATAATGCCAAACATTTAAATTTCTTCAAAATAAATTTATTTGAGTTTTATTTGATTCTATGTCTACAACCACAAGGACATCCCAGTGAGCTGTCAAATCAATGGCTTTCAATCTGTGGGCTTATTTCTAAGACTGAGATCTCTTGTGTAAAACCTATAACCTTTAAACTGGAATCTGCATTTCAAATCTCTCTCCCCAGTGAGTTTCTCTAGACCACAGCAACAGTTAATAATAACCTTTGCCTAGCATCTCACCAGAACCCTGGAAAATTTCTGTCCCTGTGCATTGTTTTAGGGGATATATGGTAGACCTGAGTAGACTAATATTTTTCTAGAGATAATTTTGCAGAATTTTTCACCTACCATTGCTCTTCTGTGACAAGTAAAGAGGAGGAAACCATAGAGCTAGAAAAACAGAAATTATCTGTGTACACTTACAGAGTAGTTTACGTTCCTTGAACTGAATTTAGTGTATTCTCATTTGTGTCCTGAAATGATAAGTTTTTTCCTGCCTTTAGTTGAAGGACTTTCCCTTTGCTGCCAGGGAAGGTGACTGGCCTAGTTTATGTGGTCCTGTAACTACTTAATTTTTTTCATTCCTGGCTATATATGATCAGTCTTTATCAAATGTTCACAAGTAACCTCTGGTAAAGCAGGTTTTATTAATTGGAACTAATTATTTAAGGCCCTCTTGTCTCAATGCTGTAACAATGGATCAGCTCTTTTAGTCTCTCTCTCCTATTAACACGATAAATTGCCTTCTAAGAATCTTACTTCAATTCAGAGGGCAAAAGATTCTGATGTGGCAAAGATTATTCTTGCAGTTGAAGTCAGCAGTTAAAGATTGACATGAATTTAGAAATGACAAACAATTAATTTGGTTTTCGTTAGTCATGAGAAGATTCTCTAGAATGTAAAACAGGATTATCTTTAATTTTCAGATGAAGATGCATTGTATGCTGTTACTCTCTGGATTGTTGCTGATTTTGATAAGCCAGCTGGGAGACGACTGCTTACTGATGCCTTGAAAAGCCTGGTGAGTTTCTAGCAGCTTTTATTAAAATTGTTGTTATGAACATGTTCTCAACAACTCTCTCTTCACATTCAAATATCATACTCTTAATAAAAGTATAGCAACTTTGTGCAGACTTAAGAGATTGTGCTTTTGTTTTACTCAGTTCCTGAAGGGAAATGATCATTTTGTTCATGGACTTGTGAGGCAGGAGACGAACTGTGACACTGTGTGTTAAAAGGGTGAATTTCTTCCCAGTTAGACTTGCTCCCATCAGGTAGCCCTGAATGTTACCTGAGAGGACTTTGGGAACTATCCAAAGTTGTGGATGGTAGATGGGAACCATTAAGCAGTGTTCTCCTGTATTTTTTGCCACAGCTGTGGCCATGAAGCAACCATTTTCCCCTGTACTGTTTGTGTGCTTCTAAGATCAATTTTCCTGTGTGTTTTAATATGCTAGGAGGATCATCTACATTTATTAGTTTGCTTATTTTTAAGTTCTTCTGTGTTAATAATAGGATTTAAGTAGGAATGTCTGAAATATGAATATACTTCAGAAAGTATAAATGTCAAGTCAGTATAAATGACAGAAAGACCCTGTGTTTGGGGCAGGTTAGAAGAGTATTTAAACTGAAATCAGGAAGGCATCTGGACTTTCTAATCAGGAATGAAATAGGAACCACCCTAAGGGAACTAGCAAATTGGGATGTTGCCAAGAGAATGTGATAACAACTATGTCTTAGAAAGAGGCTTTAAAAAATATAGAGAAGAATATTCAGTACAAGTCCTTGTTACAGAAAAGTATTTAATTTCCTGAACTGCTTGATTTATGTCTCAGGCTTGACAGATGTACTCCCTCTGTAGCTTAATTTGTTAGGCCTCTTCAGAAGGGGAAATGTCCACAGCTCCCATCTAAGAGGTGAGAACCACCTAGGCAAGTCCCTTTGTGTGGGTGAGAAGAATCTAGGAAAAAACCCCAAAACATTAGATAATTTTCATGTGCTGCTTGGTCTAGGGATTTTCAAATTTTATGAGAAATAAAACAAGAGTATTTTTTGAAGTCCACTGATTTTTATTGAGGTTATTTACTCCTTTCTAGTCCCTTCTGTCTCTCAAGTCAGGGTCCAGTATAATTCCTGATAGTAGTAGAATTGGCAGAGTCACCACTTGCTCATGACTTGCCATCAGCATTTGAAGTAAAGCATGCAAAAATCTGTGAGTGAAAATGGCTGAAGGAAATTCACTTCTAGCTATTGCAGCTAATACATGCTATTTTGAAAACTCTGGTAGTTTTTTATTTCCTTTGAAAAAAAGCTTGAGCTGTCTTAGCTGGAAGAGACCTCTCAAGGTCATCCAGTTCAGCCTCCCACTCAAAGTGGAATTATTGACTTCATTACATCAGGTCAGCTGGAGGTGTGTTTGAAGGATTTCTGAAAATCTCCAAGAAGATGACTCTGTCCCTTCCCTTTTCAAATTACTCTGGTGCTGCACTGCCTTGCTATTGTAGTTCTTTTCTGCCAGGCCAAACTTTGGGAGCATTACCCCTTGTTACTCTTTGCTGGTACCAGGAAGGGTTTAACCCTGTCATGTTTTTCACTTCCCCTTCAGTAACTTTTGGTTGCTATTCAAGTTCTCTGTAGTCTCCTCTTTGCCAGAAGGAGCAAGCCCAGATTCCTCAGTGCTTCCTCAGTTTTCTGATCATTAGTGGAAGCCTTTCCAGTGCTCAATACCAGTGATTGCATGGCTTATTTTTTGTTCTTTCCTGCATTGGAGTCCATGTACCCTTTCTTCAGTTAGTGGTGTTATTTGATCCTACCTTAGAATCATCATCACACTCTCTGGTAACATTTGAGTGGCATCACTGATTTTCGCCAGTGAAGGATTTTGCTCCTGCTGAACTTTAAAAGTGATAAGTGGATAAATTCTCTTGCATTTATTTTATACTTAGTTCAATAATTTTTGAAAAACAGACAGACATCTATCAAACTAGTTCTGAAGTCTGTGAATGAGCACTCATTTATGTCATTTGTTAAAAACGTGCTTTTGCAAAATGCTCAAAGGTAATTGTTCTATTAAAAAAAACTTTACACTTCTATTTAAAATATTTATCACAGAATAGGTAAATCCTTACTAATAACATTTTTACTCACAGTTGGAGTTCTGAATTAGTCACTGATGTATCTTTTCTAAAGACAAATAGCTGCAAAAAAAGAAATACTCAAGGGCATTTTACATACTTATAAATGATATGAATACATTAGGTAACAGCAGATGGAACTGTAAAATTACTTATTGTTCTGTTTTTCTTTGCAGAAAACAAGCAGTCATGCACGAATTGGGATTTTGAACAATCCTTCATCAAAAATAAAGGAAGATAACACAGCCATTGCAAGAGGAATTTTGGCTGCTTTTTTAACCCAAAACAACAGCAACTTAAAAAGTTTCCTAAGTAAACTCAGTAAGGAGGAGACAGCAAAATCCCTTGCTGCTGGAACTAAAATTGTTAAATTTCTCATCCCAGTGAGTACAAACTAGATTACTCCCTTTTTTATTTTACATCTATCTTATTGAAAGGAGGTGGTGAGAATAACGATGTTTGGCTGAATGCCATGAAGTTTATAAGCCATGTACTCCTCCTTCTCAAGCAGATTTGGATTTTTGATGACTTTCATGTGATTGAAGAATAGAGAATTTCTTTAAAGGGAGAAAATATGACAGTACTGAAAAATTCAGAATACAGATACCAAATAAAATTGAGTTTAATTTTTAATTTTTGGGGTTTTTAATAGCTCTCTCATTTAGTTAAAATTGCAGTATTAATGTTTTTCAAGAATTTAGACTTCAGAAAAAGTTAAGACTACATGAGAGTGAGGCTGAGTTATGAAATAACAGCTGCTAACTACTGGTTTTTGTATCAGAAGGAGTCATAAATTTCAGTCTTTTTAAATAGGAAGTGTTGGAAGACTAAGAAAACTCTCTGGACCATATTAGAAAATTAATATTTTTAAGTCCTATTTCTTGTTTCGTTTTTTTAATAAATTTTGAAAGACATAAAGATCTCTAATGAAGCTGTGTTTGCTAAGTATGTTACTAATTATTGTCATTTTTTTAATTGTATCTGAATGAATCTGCTTCATTCAGATACATATCAGAATAATTTTGACAGGTGAGGCACAATTCCAATGTGCTTTTGGTAGGTTTTTCCCCGCTTTGAAAATAAATTTATGTGTCTTTCTGGATGTTGGCTTCCCCAAAATATGTTCAAATTGTATCCAATGGCCATATTAGAATGACTGTTGGGTTTTCAGAGTATTACAAATTTTTTTAAATCTTTTTTCTAAAAGTGGGAATACAGTTGAGTTGTTAACAGAGGGTTACTTTTCATGCAGCTGTTGTGCTGGATCATGGAAAAATTGCTTCACCTCAGGCTCAGCTTTGCTCTCATGGTTATTCACAGTTGCCCCAGGTACAAACTGCACTCAGGCTCCCCACCAGCAGCTGTGTGCTTGCACTGAAGCTGAGGTGGCTGTGTCACTTTGATTTCTGGTTACCACATAATTGGAAAAAAATCTTTGATTTCCTCACATGATACAAGATTTATTTTTGGTGAATCATTCCAGCATCTCATGCTTTACCTTTGCTTTAGGGAATGGATGGAGATACTTTTGAGAAGAAGTTCAACACTTTAGGACTGGATTTAATTAAAACTCAACAGATGTTCTGCCAGGAGGTTCTGAAGCTGCTTCCTGGGCAAATGGCTGTTATGAGCAATGGCAGGGTAAGAAGGAAATTAAGACTCTCAATCTTTTTTAGGATTTTTTTACTTTTGAGACTTCAGTTTCAAACTAAAGAAAATGCATTCTTTTGATTTCCCATTTATTCAGACAATTGTTAGAGAACGGTATGAACATTTGCCTTGCTTTTTTATTTTGTTTTACTCCTAATTTGTTCATTAACTCCATTCCATTGGAGCTACTATGTGTGTATGCCATTCCCACAGCTATTTTAGAGTTTATCTGACAAAATTCTCAAAATAGGTTAGTATCGGATGTATTATTTGTGATGTTTGAGAATAAGTTGTGATCCTGAAGTTACTTTTATTTTGCTATGTAGATAAATGTATATAATTACATTGAGTAGGTTAGGATTTCAAGCTCCAAAGCACCACATTTTAATAAATATTTAGTTGTTTTATAGTCTTAATTCTTAATATGCAGATAAAAGTGTAGTAATTTTATTGTTTCAATTTTTTCTATGTCTGTGCTGAAACCAATAGCTTTTATTACAGTTGGTCAATAGATGATCTATGATCGAAAGATAAAATGTTGCATTCAATATTTAGTGCTTGTTAAATGACAGTCACTGCCTTACATTGCAAATACGATCTACAAACTACATTTTAATTCTTCTATTTTCGATTTACTCCACCATTCAAAAGAAATAGAAAGAAAACTGTGTTGGCATCTCATAACTGGAAACTCTTTAAATTTAGTGAGTTTAGTTACTCTTATGCATCCTAAATGCTTCTAAGATGCAACTGAAATACTGCTAAGAAACACACAGAAAGCAATTTTGTTGATGAAGCCTTAAAGAATTGTTGGTTTTTTTGGGTCAACTCCCTCATAACTAAATTAGTGAATTTATTTCATAAATTATTATTACTGTTCTCCATGCCTAAAAAAGCTAAAATAATGTCATATTATAAGTTTTGGAGAAATAAGTTTCATTAAATATTTGGATAAATTTAATAATGTATATTCATATCTGTGTTTTCACTCTAAACTATCACTTTTAAGAAGACATGAGATATCCTTCATTTCTGTCCTTAATATTTCATCACTGAAGTTTTGCTTTTAGGAGCAAATTAATATTTTCTAATTGGCTTCTCCAAATTACCATAGTATTTCATAATTACACTGTGGTTTCATCAATCTCATGCATCATTAATAAAAAAATCAAAAGTGGAATTTGTTATATAACCTCTCATTTATAGGATGCAGTTGAATTTTGAGGAAGAGACATTCAGCACCCAACTTATATAATAAGAGTCTACATCCTGGGAGCCCTGTAAGCTATTGAACTTGTCTTGGGTCAATTTGGCCAGATAGACTGAGTAGGAAATGCAAACAACATCCTCAAAGCTGTTTTCTGGGACTCCCAGGCACTTTCTTTTCTTTCAGACACTAAAAATGTAGTAATCCTGTATCTTCTCATATGATGCATTTTGTATCCTTTCCCATTCTTTCTATCCGTTCTGCTTCATTTGATAAGTGGTAGGAGATTGTGTTCATAGAATTAAAAAACTAAAGAGTGTGGTAGACAAATAGTAATTTGAGTTTAAAATATTTTACATAAGAGAGCTTTTTCTTCAAGTTATTTCTAAATAGTGTATTCCTTAACAGATGAATGTATAATGAAAAGTAGCGTGGATATTTCCATTGCAGTTATTCTTTGTGATTGATAATTAACTCTAATCATATAACTGTAAAAGCCTAATCCTGCATAGTTACTATAAAATTTAATTAGTTTTATAATCAAGAGCATTGATTATATAGAGATTGGGGTTTCATGTTCAATTTTGTGCATTCATTTAAAATATTCATTTATTTTTACTTACAAACAGAGCATTATTGGGACATTCTACACTTATTGGGTTTTTTTCCTCTATCTAAGGTACTGGGTCCTTTAGATGAAAATGAATTCCATGCAGAAGACTTTAATTTGTTGGAAAAGATAACATACAGTACCTCAGCAGAGAAGATTAAAGCTATTGTCAAAGAGATGGGAAACAGTAGTAAAAGGTAAAATTCTCTTACCTCATAACATGTGTGCAGCTCTGCTGAATTACTCCAAATACTTTCCCTACTTTCACTGTCCTTACAACCAAGAGTACAGCTAACAGTAAAGGATTCCTACTAGGTTTTGTTTGCAAAGAGTAATTGTAAGGAATGATAATAAGCTTGATAAAATACAGTGTATCTTAGGCCAAATCTGAGTATTAATATTTGGAGTCATTGTCTTTGGGAATTGTTAGTAAGGGAGCCTGTAGAGTCATGGGCTGATGCTGTGCCCTGACACCATAGTAGACAACATTCACACATCTGTTCACTGAAGAAGTGTAAAGATGAGATGAGTTCAGGCCATCTTCTGGCCTTGTGTACAAAGAAGAAAACAAAATTATACTCTTCTTACAGTACCTCTCGACTTTGAGTATCATTTCTGTTATCTAGAAGGACTGGCACAATTGAAAGAATCATTGCCAGAAAAACAAAATCAACAAGAGGCAGAACTCAAGGAGATAAGTAGTGAGAGACAAAACATATTTAGACAAATAATCTGACTTAACAACACTGAAATGGGACTATGATTTCTAAGGAAACTTCAGTAGGAAATTCCAATAGAAAAAATTGAAATATGTGGCCAGCCTTGAAACCAGGTCATTTATGTGTGTTCCTTAATGTTGTTATAAATGGGAAAAATTTAAAAAAAAAAGAAAAATAGTAAAGAGCTAGAAATCAACAAAACTAAGTCAACAGATCTTAACATCATAAACTCACTTCTCATGATTCTGAATCAGATCTCTTTGGCAAATGTGTGACTAATAAAAACTTTTCATTAATTCAGGTTTAATTTGTCTTGTGGACCAAGCCCCACATTTTCATCATATTACACAGATTTGAAGACCCAACAATTGAGAAAAATAATTGCTGTGAGGCTGAATGATAACTCTGTGAATTCTGCATCTCTTAAAATTAAGGAGTGTCCATTTCACAAGGCTTTTCTCAGGCTGTAGTGGTTCTTGGGCATTCTCATGCTAAAGGTTTAGCTACAAGTCCTGAGGTGTTAATCACCTTAGAGTCCAGGTCTGGGATGTGGGCTTCCTAAATAGGCTTTATGCAAAGAGACTGACATTGAAATGTTAATGTTTTGTTCCTTTTCTAATGACAACTAAACTATATGTGCCTTATTTAATACAGTGGCAGTGACTTGATTATGAAAATAGATGCCCTTCTGTCGTCTTTGCCTAAAACAGAGATGAGACAAGATGTTGAATTACTCAAAGAACAGCACAGGTCAGTTTTGTCATGATAATGCACTTAGAGTAATTTTTTATTAACATTTGAATGTACTGATGATTTCATAGTCTTTGGCAAGTTGAGTAAGCATTCTAATTTTGAAACTGTTTTATGAACAGCCTGCTCATCTGCTATAGCATAATGCATCTTTACTTTTCCTAATAAATTCATTAGTAATGCCTTTGATTTCCCCACCTTACCGTTTGCTGATAAGAGGGCAGAGGGGTACATGTTTTAAAAGGACATATGATAATACAAAAACTGTGATCAAATTACAAATTTTTATTAAAATTTTTGCTGTTTCCAAATCTCTACTTGTTCTTGTTGGTAAAGGTGCTCCAGTAGTAGTTGTGTGTGCTGTTGGACTGTGCCTGTTGGTGAAGGCAGGAGTGAAATGAGTGGTAGCCTTATCTAAGAGGCTGACACCTTTTTCTAAGTTACACTAGTAGTAGTCAGTACTGTGCTGCTACTATATATTTTGTGGAAAACAAATTCCAGTTGTCCCTTTTCTGTGTTTACAGCATATGACTTTTTTTTTTTTCATTTTTTTAAATTAAGTTTACTGACATTTTCTTCCTGTAAACACAGAGTACTTTAACTAGGGTCGGCTTGGCTTAGCCTAATCAAGTCTCACCAAACTGAATTATTTTCTGGAATGCATAAAGCTAGTCCAGCCTATCGAGCTCCACACTTCTCAAATGCCATTTTCCCCTCTCTTTTTCTCTTTTTAAATTATGTCACCACCACTGCTTGCCTGATCCAATGATTCCAGATGTCCATGAAGGGAACTGTAAACAAATGACAAAAAGGCCCTTTGTATAGTCTTACTGTGCTTTATTTTATTAATTTTGTTTTAGAGAATGTATCTAATCACCAACCAGTACAGAAGTATTTGGATTAATGCTATATTTTTTGCTCTTCTTCACATTTAGCTTTTCTAATGGTATCACAGGGAGCATCATGATTATTACTTGAAATGAAGGAAATATTTTCTTGAGCAGTAAAATCTTAAACACCTCTGATATTACAAATTAGTCTCTAAAAATGTTTGTCCTTTCAGCAAATTCAGTTTTGAGTTTTCATGTCACTTGTTCTGAATACTTTTTTTACAGTGTAATAAAAATCGAGCCCCAAGAGAATGACCCCTTCTATGATGTTGTTGCTATTGTGGATCCATTGACAAGAGAAGCACAGAAGATGACCCATTTATTGATTGTAAGATATCTTATAATCATATCTTGTAATTTGCTTATTTGTACTCCAGTTGTTACTAAAGTTGTTCTAATTTCCACATACAGCATAGTAAAGAGTAAACAAAATTTGGTTATTCTTTCTTTTCCTTTAAAATATGTGTTTAGTTATTTTAATGCCTAAAAGAAGTTGAGAACTACCTAGTTCATCATTATGAATATCTCATTTGAAAGTAAAATTCAGATGCCTAATGTCCCAGTCCTCTTAGTGAGCCTGTAAGTGCTCTCTACAGTCAGCAGAAAGAAAGGAGGAGATTGTGTACATAACTCTTTGCATCTCAAAAATCTCAGGAAGTATGTGCTTTCCCTTAAACCAGATCACCTTAGTTTTCCAAGGCACCTAAATGAGGTGGTCTAAATCTGACTTGTAATATCATCATAAGAAGATTGGACTATAAAGCTTTCAGCTCTTGGAGGGGTATTTCTCAGTTGATTAATGCTCCCAAGTATATCTAGATAGGCTTCTATTGTGTGTAGCTATTGATCTTCTAAAGAGAAACTGTCTTAAAAACACAGCTGCTAAAATTATTTTCTTCTTTCTCCTACTGCAGAATATCACTGTGTCTCAGGTTCCTTTATAGTTTCCCATAAAAATGTAAATTTTGTCTTCACTTTATGGTCTGTTATAATTCTGAAACCTCCAACTTGATTTTTGCTGCATCCTATTTTATCTTTTTTTTTTCCTGCAGTAATTATGCAAGTTTCATAAATTCTTAAAGTGCTTTTCCCCCTCCCATTTTCATACCCTTTTATATCAAATGTTGAAGCATCCACTCACTCTTCATATAGTGGAGCAAAGTAAAACATTTTTTAAAATTCATGAAAAATTTTGCTATTTCGAGATTCTGGAATACTAGCTTACCTCTAGAACTAGATCTCTCATTTCACCCTTCTCAGTGGAAATGAAAGCTTGATATTACCAAATGAAAATATTTTCAGGTTGAAATGGACTGGAAACTCTCCATTTATCCAGAAGTTGATATTATGAGTATAAATCACATCAAGGATCTTGCGGCTCAGAGCAGAAGCCTCCATTCCTCTGAGCTCAACAGGCTCTCTCATGCGTGCCCAGGCAAATGACTCCCATGGTGTACCCAGCTGTTCAGCTGTGCCAGATCCTGCTTGAGTCACAGGAGCTCTAGTTCTGTGCAAGAAGCCAACCCTTAGGAGAGAGTAATGAAATGCTGTTGAACGTAAACAAACCAGAAATATTTTCATGTAGATTAGACTTTCCAATAATATCTTTTTTAAAATGAAAACTAGCCTGGAAATTTATATGCACACATATGCGCACACACACACACACATATATATATATAAATATATAATTACCTGGAAAGCCACCTTTTCCTGCTGTAGAAACAAAACAGACATGCAAATACAGCAAGCCCCAAACTCAAAGTTCTTAAGTTAATGCCTTTCTGATTAGCTTACTGTAGATAGGTGATTTAAATACTATAAACTTTAATCACTGGAATATATTTATATTTAAAGGTTTGTTGGGGTTTTTTTTTTTTCATTTATATAATTGGATTAGAGCTGAATATATTGGATTGGTAGCTTTTCATGGTGCAGAATTTGTTGAGTATGTACCATGGCAGAACATGTGATTCTTGCCCCATTCTGTATTGGATATGCCCATATAATGACTGGGTTTTTTCACCCTGGGGAAACAATTGTATTACTTTCTGTCATTTAATAGCTACTTCAAATAAATCTTTTGGTCTTTTTTATTAAAAATACAAACAAAATGTTACTCATATTAAGTGGGATTGAAATTGAGATAGGTGTAAATAGGTGGGCTGTAATCTAAACTTGACTGCTTAGTCTGAGAGACTGGCAGTGTAAGGATGGAGGAAGGAATGAATCAGAGCACAAATGAGACCTCAATCAAAGCTGCTGTTTGTTTTTAAAATATGTACTGGATTGTATCATAAGAATTGCTCTAATCCTTTCCAGACTGAGGCAGGTAGCATCTTCCATGTAGTCTGTGTTTTTTCCCTTTTTTTCAAAAAGTGTTTTTTACAGACTTCAGCATCAAGTATTTCCAAGTATGTCCACTGTAAATATTTAAATGGCAGCCATAACTTTATCATGGTTGGACCACATAATTTCTCAGCAGAATATATGGAAGAACTAACTAGTCCTGAAGTTATGAAGGTGATCTCTAAGGTGATGTGAGAAAAATAGAAATTTCTTCTGCTAAAATGGAGGACAAAATTGAAGAGTTGTGGATTTTTTTTTGTCATGGTTCACCAAAAACAGGAGGAAAGATTATTCTGTGTAGTCTTAGGATTATCCACCTTTTTTTTCTTGTTCCAGTAAGTATCCAGCAATTCAAAAACGTGGAGAAAAAAAATCAAACCTTTTATTGTTTTCTTGTCAGTTATCTTTTGCCTTTTTTCCTTTGTTCATTCTGTCTTCAGTGAGGACTTAATATTCCATGCCTAAAGTAAAAGGAATCCCTGCAGGAGCCCCTTTTGGTGATCTAGTCTGATTGCCTATATAATGCATGTGTCAGGACTCCTTTTTCACAATTATTATTTGAAGTAGAAATAATTTTTTAATCAATTCCTAATTTAAATATTACCAAGCAGCTGAGTACAGATCAGAGCACCTACTGAGATTTTCCTGTGGCTAATTAGCCTTACTGTTAAACTCAAACTTGGAATTACATGTTTTTGTTTAGATCCATGTTGTAAGCATTGATGTTCTCATCATTTTGCCAGTTCTGTTGAATATTCTATTATAAGTTCGTTTTCAGTGCAGATACTTTGTATTATCCTGAAGTTCACAAACAATTCCAAGTGACTGGTTAGATAATCATGGTTTACTGAGTTAATGTTCTTCTGATGAGTTGTGGTAACTCAAGTGTCTTGCAAATGACTTTTTGTTGTGCACATGCACAATAAAACTAGCTCTTGAATAATTTTCAGGCCTCCTGAAATATTTCAACCATGTTTTACAGTGCTCCCTGAACTAGATTTCCATGCTCTTTGAGTTTTCTTATTTAAAGTAAACAGACTGAACTCTTCAAATATCCTCTAAAAGTCTTCGTAATTTTGTCACCATTTTCAAGTGTTAACTCCAATGTCCTGGTTTCTGATGTCCTCAGAAGCCCTAAATAATAGAACCAAGTTCAGTGTTTTCAGAAGTTGTATTGTTGAAAAACACAGAGATAATGAATTATTGTCTTATTTGTCATTTCCTATTTAAAGTCCTTTGAAATGTTAATTAAGAAAGGCTTTTAGGTTTTTTTTGGCTACTGTGCTAAATTTCATGGTCAGCTGATGAATTGGGATGATGCATCAGCCTTCTGCGAGATAATTTCATTCTATGCACAAAAGCCTAGCAATGCAGATTGCTGAAGAATCATTCTTGCTGTTGGGATGAGGGTTTTGTTTAGTTTGAAGGTAAAGTCCTTACAGGCTTTTATAATTCTTTTTATTCTGAATGGTAGATAGATATTTGAGTCACTTTGACCTCTATTTTGATTTTGGTGGTCTTAAACTTATGTCATGTGATGCTTTCCCTTTTTATCCTTCCAGTGCTCTTAGGTTCTCATTTCCTGCTTCTTCACTTGTTCACACCAATATGCTGTTCTATCTACTCTTTGGGTTTATTCAGTAGTTTTTCAGTGATGGCATTCAGTGGCACAAAAGAATAAGAAACTAGGAATAGAACGGTTCCCCAGGGCTAAGTAAAGTTACAGCATTGTAGTAAAGAATGTGTGTAAGCCATGGGCTGAACTGAGGAGAGAAAAATTATAGTCATAATAAAAAAGAGATTTAATGATGAATATTGTCTTACTTTGTTCCCAATTTATTTGCTATTGTAGTAATTTTAGATATTAGCCTTACTAGTATTGGTGTTATAACTTATGTCTTACTGGCCTTTCTCATATCCGTAAATGTAGGCACAGCTGCTTTATGCTTTCAGGTAAGCACTTTGTGTCAGAAACCACAGAACTGAAGGTAATTTGATAAAGGTTTTTATGAGTGCTTTAAAGAAATTAATGACTTTGTTAGCTTTAAGCAAAACAAAACAGATTGCGCACAAAAATTAGAAAAAAATACTGTCTTAATATTATGGTTCCTATATAACAGCATCCAAAACATTACTATTTTAGAAATTACCAGATGAAGAAAGTGAGAGAAAAAAAATAGAAATATGTGAACTTACCAAAATGTTTTGAAGTTAATTGAATGGTTTAATACATCATTAGTCTATTGTTGACATTTAAAGTTAGTAAGTAATTGGGTATTAAAATAGTTCCCTGAACTTCTCTATATTTAACAATTTTCTATATATAGCTGTTTTAATAAGAGTGAAAGCAATTGTTTTAAGATTGGTTGTTGGATTAAAGGCATGTGTTGTACTTAGAGACCTTCAAGTGCTTTAAAATCACAATGTAACAAGGGTGATAATATCATTTACTCTAGTGTTGGAAAATGGAGAGAGCTGCTCTTGAAAAAATTGCATGAAGACATTAAAATTTTGACTGTCAAGAATATCATGTGCTAAATCATGCAGTTTTAGCAAAGGTCATATATTCATTTATAATATCTGATAATAACTTTTAATATACAGATATATTTACATCTTCAAAAAGTTTTAGATTCCTGCTGGAACTTGAGAAATAGCAGGATGTCAGAAGGGTAACTTTGGCTTATTTTCAAAATTTGGTGATTACCAAGAACCATTTTTTACAGAGATTTTTTTTCTGTAGGTACTGAAGGACATTATCAATATGAAACTCAGGTTATTTTTGAACTGCAGATCTAAGCTATCTGAAGTGCCACTGAAGAGGTTAGTAGTTCATAACTTGTCATGCTCATTTTGGAAAAACAGTCTTAATGGTGTATTTTTCTTTAAAAGTAAACATTGCTTTGTGTTTCTGAGTTCTTTTTGTTGATGCATTTTTCACTGAATGTTACCTAAGCAGTTGGCACTTGTTTAATAAAAGTTTTGTTCTAATATGTCAAGCACAGTATCACAGGGAAGTGATCTAGTCCATCAAATACCTCTCATTAACAGGCCTTAAATAAATCAGTAGTCTTTTATAGCTGTGAAGACTTCAGAGGGGAATTATCTGTCTAAGTTGTTCCCTTCTTTACAGCCCACAGTTTGTGTAATAGATTGTACAGATTCAGTGGTCCTAGGAATTAAATTCATCTGAATAAATATACAGTCTGCATTTGTTATATTGAGATAATGTTATGTTTCATTGAGAACATGATATCCTGAATGTATCTACTATAATTTGAAGTTTCTTTTATCTGTGTGTAAAAATTGTGGTTCACTAATTCAGTGATAGACATTTACACTGAAATTAATTCCTTCCAAGATGATTTCTTTCCCTCTAAGAGAAATGTTTAAGTACAGCCATCTCCTTGGCAGGTACTTTACCTATAATCCTAACACCTATATTACTAATTACCTGTGAGAGAGGTTGGTGGCAGTGCCTGTCCTTTAGCCAGAGAGCTGCAGAATTAATCATTTGCCCACAAAACAGAAGTCCTTAGTTTTTATGTGTTTTATGCATTTGTTCCACAAGAGCCTCTTAATTTCAGTCTTCTGAGTGTCTTCTTGTATGAACATCATTATGATGGCTTTTGAAGCTCAGCACTTTGCACGTCTTGGTGCCTGGTTCTTTCTTTGTGCTTTTCTTTGTGTGTGGAATAATTGGGGTAAGAGCTGGGGAGGAACAGGGAAACCCTGTCCTTCCTCTGCTCTGTCCTTCCTGCTGCTAGTGACAGTAGCCATTCTCAAGGACTTTTTTCCAATAGAGATTTGTCCTTCTGCATAGTTCAGGGATACAGATTCTGAGAATTCAAGGCTGCTAACAGCCAGGCTATCTAAATGCATCTCATGGGTATTCACTTTCATAGCCTTTAGAGTGTTAATGGAAAATAGACACATCCACAGAAAAATTACCAAAAGTGTCAGTGTTCATCTACCAGCCCATTTGAGATGCTGTAGGTATTGTCTGATGATATTCCAAAAGAATAAGGAGCTACTTTGCCTCCAAATTTCATCATACTTGGCAAATACTCACTATATTTGAAAATATTTTAGAAGAGCTTCATGTTTGTATTTTACCAAAAGTTGGGTTTTGTCACACTTCTTTTTCAACAGCTTCTATCGTTTTGTTCTGGAACCAGAATTAAATTATGGAATCAATAAGCCCCTTCCTTCTGAACCTGTAGCAAAATTCCTAGAATTGCCAGAATCACCTCTTTTGACTCTAAACATGATCACTCCTGAAAGCTGGCTGGTTGAAGCAGTAAACAGTTCCTGTGACCTTGATAACATTCATTTGCAGGAAGTAAGTAAGAGTTTGCAAACACTGTAAAACTTGTGTTGGCCCTTCTACTTCAAGAGGGAAGTGGAAATGTTGCAAGATTTGTCTTGTGTCAGTTCTCCTGAAATATTTTCTTTGGCAGTTGTTTCTTTGGTAATTTTCTTTGGTAGATTTTTCTTTGGAAATAGGCAATATTTTACCGTTTCTATTGTCATCATCTTTTCGTCCATTGTCTCTTAAAAAAAAAAAGAGACAAGTCTTAAAGGAAAGCAACGGAATAGAAAAAAAAATCGGAATGCAAACTACAAGTTAAAGCAATTTACCTGCTATGTTGAGTTTTGTGTTTAGAGAAATACTGCATTTAAGATAAAAGTAAAGCAATTAAAGCATTCTTTATGTTTCCTAGTTCTTGTAACCTAGGTAAATCTTCATATAAACTGGAATATATGACTGTTTATTGTAGTTCAAAATGTATTTCACCCTCTTTTAGTTCAAAATTCTTTCAATTATTATTTAATTCTATTTTAATTCCCCATCTTCAAAATAATTCGTTTTGTTTGAGTCAAGAAGCTTATGCAAAATATTGAGTGTGTTTGATTGACCAAAGCTGTGTATTTGGGAAGTGTATTGTGAAAGTAAAGCTGGGATTTACCTTACAAAAGCAGAGGTGCCTCAGCTTCAACAGTTAGTGGAGAGAAGGTCTCTCCAGAGTGTGACCCTTCCTCTTTGTCTTGGATACCTGTTTTATAATTGAGTTAAGTTCCTGTGGATGGACTTTTCTTTGGGTTTTTTTGACTGTGGGAGTTACATTGTGGTAAATCCCACACATGTTTGTGACTGTAATATTTTGCTTTTCCTACGTGGTTAAATGACATAATTTATTGATGAAGCATTCCTTCCATAGATAAAAGGGGCAGTTATAGCAGAATATGAGCTGGAATATATACTGCTTGAAGGACATTGCTTTGATGTGACAACTGGACAACCTCCTCAAGGGTTACAGTTCACTCTGGGCACAGAGAAGAATCCTGTCATGGTTGATACTATTGTGATGGCCAACCTTGTAAGTACTTGCTACAGGAATAGTCATTACAATTCTCACACTTCATGTGAGAATTCTTCATGAGCATCTTGTTCTTTAAGTCCATTTCTCTGTGTTGCAAGCTTAGTAATGCTAAAAGTAACAGACGCATCCTGGAGCTGAGCTCATCTCCAATTTGTTGAGCTTTCCCCCTGCTCCTCTCCTGTGATGCAGTATAGATTTGAATACAGCCTAATTTTATACTCTTGCCTGAAGTGCCTAAACTGGCAGCCTAATTGCCTCTAGTAGGTGGTAGGAGGCAGTTATATTCAGGCTGAGATTCCCTGATAAATGTAAGGTATGATTCACATTCTGAATAAAATGACCCTTTTTGTTACACAATGATCCAGGCAAAAGAAGACTCCCATTTTAGATGCTTCAGGTAGGTGCTTAGAGCCTTGGTGGGACATACCCACACCTGAGAATTTCTCTCATCATGCAAAGTAGTTATTTTTCATGTTGGCAGTCTGTAGAGCAGAAGACCATGTGACTTGTGAAGTAAAACCTTTATTTTCTGTTGGCTAAGGGAATTTGAATGGGAAGGATTTTGATAAGACCTTTTACCTATCTGCTGTTCTCTAGTCTTTGTAAATACTGTATCATAAGGAATGAAATACTTAATAAATTGTGAATCTTTGATTTTTGCCCAAGTATTGAATACAGACTCCTGTTTAGATATGTTTGGCATGATGAAACGCTTGCTCTCTGTGACTTTAACTTATCAATAGCTGTTTACAATGTTCCTAAAATGGCAAAGAATTGTGTTGACTTGGAAAGTTGTTTCAGACAAAAATTTTGAGTTTCAAAGAAGCTTTTCAATTTAGGATCTGTTCAATAAGTTATTTCTTTGCTGCTCTTTTACTTGCTGTCCTTGGTGGAGTTTTTGTATGTAACTCAAATTCAGCTAGAAACAAACAGAGCGCAGAAAGACGTTAAAACAGACATGCAGGAAAGTGATAGTTGTTGCATACCTGGCACACTTCTTTCAGGACTAGTACAACTGCTGAGTAGTTTATTTTTGTTTATGAAGATGGTTGAGTCTGAAATGCAAGCAGAACAAGTGCCTGTGTTTTTTCCTTAGGGGTATTTCCAGCTGAAAGCAAATCCAGGCGCTTGGACGCTGAGATTGCGTAAAGGGAGATCTGAGGAGATTTATCAGGTGTTTTCGTAAGTATGAATCCATCATTGGGAAACAAATTAATCTGAAACTGCAGCATATTTTGAAAAAATGACAACACTGAAAGAAAGTGAGCAAAGATAGCATTAAGAAGTATAAGATGCAAATGATGATTTAAAGTTTGTAAGGAATACCTTATTTCCTTGTATTGTTGTTGTTTGATGGTTTCATGTATTTTTGAAGGCATAATAAAGCCAAGCTGCTCAGCTGGACTAGATGCTAGCCATGTCCCTTACTATACAGTTGCACAGCTACCAGATACTTGCCTTGTCAGTTCCATGCATGGTTAGCATAATCACACCACCAAATTCTGTAGAAATGTCACTCATGGTTTTGTTTGTAATGTTTTTGCATTTCCAACATACTTAACATGTAATTTAAAGAGTATGTCCAATGGAGCATTGCTCTCACAAATTACCTCCAGAACTATCTGAAGGAAGTACCACAAATTTCCCTCTCACCATTTTTTTCGGCCCTCTGAATACAGTGTATTTACAAGTGGCATATTTTTTTAACAGGAGCATTGCAATCATTTCAGTTCTAGACTTTTTTCTTCGATGAATTCTGAGTGTTACTTAGTTGTCTAAGTCATCTAAGGATCACTGTGTTTACACCTGCACCTTAGGATATTAAAGCATCCTTCATTTTGAGACCCTGGCTGCATGTTGACCGCACCACATCTCCCTCTCTTGGGAGAAACCTCTGTCCATAGAAAGAAAGTTGTATTCCTGTAACTGGCATTTAGGTGACATCTCTGTGGCTTCTAGATCTGTGATTTTCATGGAAAGGAATATATGTGCTCACTGTCATTCCAGCTATTCCTTAGAAGAATCACCTTTTCCCCATGTTTTATATAAAAGCACAGACCTGTAGCCCATGAGAGCTCTCTCCTGAAGCTTTAGATCTAATCACTTCTAGAGAAGCAGTATTGCTTATTTAATTTCAGCTTCAGTTTTTCTTTGTTTTTGCCTTTTTCCTGTTATCTTTTCCCCCTCAGAGTAATTGTGGGGTTTGAAATAGGTCTCTTTCTTATAAAATATTTATTATTACTTGAAGCCCAGGAAGACATAGTTCCATATATTGTTAATTATAACTGCTATTAAAAAACAAAAAACTTGCTGAGCCTCTTTGTGGTTCTGAATCTTTAGTTAATATCAATGGTACAGGGAGAAATATTAATGGCATGTTAGATTCATTCTGTTTGTTTGCAATTTTCAATTTTTTTTTTTTCAGAAATCACTTACAATCTGTTGAAAAGGCAGAAAAACATAGTCCTTACCCTTTGAGGTTCAACTGATCTCCACCAACTGCATCTGTACCATTTGTCTAATTTAGCATTTAATTCTTAAGAAATATAAAGTGATTTATATAAGATAGCATGGTTTAAAAAATAATGTAATGAGGTGCAGTTGGGTTAAATAATGAAACAAAATTATACAAAACAACTCTACATTCTAGCCTGGATCAGAGGAAATTTAAATTATCTACTGGGGTTTTGCTCATTTTCCCTCTGTAACACAAATGGGCTTAATTGAACTCAGCAAAGTTACTAAAAACTAATACCTCATGAGGAATCTAAGCAATGCAATTTATTTCATCTTATTCTTCCAACTGTAGACTTCAAGTACAAGAGGAAAAGTGTGTTTGCAGGGCTGCACCAGGATCTTTGATATTTCGTTTACAGTATTAATAGTATGAAGTTGCTATCAGAGCTCAGGAAACTGTTTGATAGGATGGAATTTTGCCAAGAGCTGTTGCACTATATTCTCCATCCATATATATTAGTCACACCCTCTGTTGAACTGTGAGCTGAACGTGGTTTCTTTGAGGCACAGGCCTGTGCATTATAAAGGGAGTTTTAGAATGTTCTACATCTCAGTATTTATCTTACTTGTTTCTCTCGTAGTTGGAAGTAATTTATTTTTACTATATATAAATACTTAACATTTAAAACAAGCTGCCTCTTTCTTCTTAAAGACTGTTTCTGACAAGGATAATTATATTGATGCAATCACACTTGTAAATCAATTTGTTATTAATAAATTACTATGAATATTAGGAAAGCAAAAATTGTTATACTCAGCAATAATCTGAGCACTTCTTATTTTTGGGACTTTGATGTTGGTAGGAAAACAAGTAGGTATTGCTAGATAAGATGGCAAAAAATTATTTATAGCAAAAGATACCTATAAAATCCTGATGAATATTTTACTTTTTAAAAAGCCGGGTAGACATATATAGGATATAAGATATTATTATATTTTGATGTCCTGCAGACTGCCTAGGTGAAAGGTATATATTTTATAATTTAGGAAAGGAGTGTATGTTTGTTTCCTGGGCTTGAGCTTTTCAAGGATCTCTATTTCTTGAACCCAAATTCTTTTGTCCCCCATATGGAAAATTATAATTTGTATTATATTGGTATTTACTTGTATTTGTATTAAAAGCATCTAAGTGTTTTGAAGTTCAAGTTGTGATGTAAATAGTCTGCTAGACATGTTTTGCTTTTCACAATTACATAATATTAAGGTAGCTGTTATTACAAATGTCAGAGTGCTGTCAGTATGCAAGATATTTTGCTTGGATTTAAAAAGTTTGTTCATAGTAGGACAGAAATTCATCAAACTGAGTTCTGTGCAGAGTAAAACAGTTGGCACTCAGTAAAGATGGAGCCCACAGGGAGGCATCCATGAAAGAGATTTAGGGAGACAAAGCAATGTTGTTGAATTTACATCCAAACACACTGAGAATATTGCAGAGACTTGGAAAATCCTCTTTATCAGCAGAATCCTCTCTATCTACCTACAAAATTCATAGCATGGGGATTTTGAGGTAACTGAGTGAATAACAGAGAAAATATTGGTTGTGTGAACACTGGGGGCAAAAATGGAACATCAGGCCAGGTGCTGCTATCAGCAGTTTGTTTGGATCAAATTTTATATTTTAGAACTTTTTAGTGACACACTTTATTTAAAATGAAATTAATGTCTGAGCACTGTACATCCTTGTGAGGCAAAGACCATTATTGGCTGGGTGTGCATATGTATGATATTTTAAAAGTGTGAAAATAAAACTACAATAGAGAGTAGAAAAGTTCAGATAATTCTGAACATTGTTTTATGCAAGGATAGGTCATCTCCATGAGACTTAGTGATTACAGGCACATTTTACCAAAAACATAAATAGAAAATTCAGATGAGTGTGTAAAATCCTGCAGTGTTCAGGTAAGTGGTATGATGCACATTGAAACAAGATTGAAACAAGATTGAAATACTTCTTTTATTATAAATATATTATAATAAATTATATTATTAATAATTGTTGTTATATTTGAATATAATATATATGTATATATAATACATAATAATGTGCTTAACTGTAGGTTACTGCAGTTTTTCATTGATTAATAAATTTCCTATAAAAATTCAAATTAAAAAATTAATGTGACGTCTGTGGACAATGTCCAGTGATGAATAAACTCAAAGTTTTTGAAGTTGAAAAATAATTAGATGCAAGTGAATAATTTTTTTCTGTAAACATCAGCAATTCTAAACCTTACTCTCTGATCAAACGCAAGTAACAATACATATTTTAATGAGACAGTACATTTATCTGGGCTTTTTGTCTCCTCACAGCCATGAAGGAACAGATTCTGTAGCTGACCTGGCAGACGTTATTGTGGTATTAAACAACTTCAGAAGCAAAATTATCAAAGTTCAAGTATGTATACAGTGTTTCCTGGTATGAAATATGACTTATGCTTTTATCTGTCTCAGGCTATATTTAATTGAAATATGTATACTGAAATATATAATTTAGATTTTGTATAATTAAAGAGAAGGATGTGCAAATTAATGTAGTTAATTTGATCCAATCAGGTGATACTAATTGTGTGGGAGATTTGTTAAATAGCTGTTAAACATAGATAACATTTATCTCATCTAGCTCGAGGTGCCCAAGTGTGCAGTCTTGGTGACTTAAATCCCTTTCTGCTTAGCAGGAGAGAATCCAAAGGACTGCTCATCCCTGCTCATATATGGATTTAAATCAAGAGAATGACCTCTTGAGACATCCATTTCTCTCCAGTGAGTGAGGACAGATTTTACACAAAGTCCAGATTCCAGACTGGAAGTCAAAATCAGTTGTGTTGAATTTTACCCTAGGCGACCAAATTTGTGTCAATAAAATTACATTACTTTCATTAGATGTTTCAAAAACAGCTAATGAAACACTACTTACTGAGGAGAAAGATCCTCATAATACCCTATATTTTCCACTATGCATTTTAAATATTTTTAAAATATTTGTAAATATTTTTAAAAAACAGACAGGAGTCTCTTCCCCAGTCCTGTAACTGAAAGTTTCCAGAAGCCAGGGAAAATGTGTAAGATTCTGGAGCATGATAAGCCTTGTCTTTAAACAACAGAGAATGGGTAAAAGGGTGCCTAATTTTCCTATTTAGAGCCAAAACAGGAATATTATTTTATGTGAAAGGTGGTATGTGTATAAAGCTTATAACTAGAATATGTAAACTCTGCCATTCAGTTGAACTCTAGAATCACTTCACTCATCTGTAGGATGTGGCTTCAGGATAGTGTCAACAGAAATCTGTGTTAGCTTGACAATATAAACATGTGAAATTAATATGATTAGATTCACACATTCAGGGTGTAAGAAGCTATTTGGTTTTCAAAAGCAATTAGATTTCTTTTAATCAAGGAAATTGAGGTGGTAAATGAAATTAATCTTAGCCATTACAAGCATCTGGATTAGACAGCAGAAATTGCTTAAGTTGGATGCAAGAGCTTCTGTTTCAGTGACAAATTTGTCACTTTCTCCCTGTGAAGGGCTTATGAAAATGACAATTTCCTCTCAAGTAAGTTCCATTGTGAGGTGCTACGCTTCTTCCAGCTAATGGCTGGATCATAAACTTGTGAGGGAGGAAAATGAGCTAAAATTCACCACGTTTTTAGTTGTTGTTTGATAAAGATGTACAGAGGGCTTGAAATGTGCTGGCTGATTTATTAATCACCATACTTAGTGGCTCTAGCCAGTTAGTACACCATGGTGAGATATCACAATACAAGTAGTAATTACTATCAACTCCCTTCCCAAGTTGCACAAAGACCTTTATTTTATTGACTAGGTACAGAAAAAGCCTGATAAAGTGAATGAAGAGCTTCTCACAGATGGAACAACAGCAAAAAAAGGAAAAGTGGAATCAGTTGCAAGGTAATGCATAACTTGATTCTAATTTAGCTGTTCCAGGACATGTTAATTATTACTCATAGCAAGTAAATTTTCTTGCTTGATACTGATACAAATGTGTAAAAAGTCTCTCCAAGGGATTTATAATGTAAATAAAAAGGGGGAAAGACAAGCTATAATGTCATGTAAATCTCCTTTTTTATTGTCTTCTTAATCCCTCCTTTGTATTTCCAGTTTCTCTTCATTTTCTCCTTTGGCTGTTTTTTTCATTTTGGTGTGGCAGGGAATCAGTCTCAATGTGAAAATCTCAGCTGGTTATGTGATACTCATGTATGTCAAACTGAACATCAAAAAGCAGACCAATACTGTTTGTTTGCTCCTGGACATAATTTATGAAATCTCAAGTGTATTACCTTTTACTTTCAAGTTTGAGTTCTTTAAGTAACTGTAATAAGCATCTCAAGCATTACATTTGGGGCTAATAACTTTGTAGTATTTCTCATTTGCTGTTTTGAACAAGACTCAAAAAAGGTTTTATTCAGTTTTCAGTAGCTTAGGCAATGGTTGTCAGTCGCAGACTGCTAAAGAAAATAAAGAAAAGGCATAGCAGTTCTACTTCATCTGCTAATCACTTGGCTCCAGTCAGTCCTGTACACACACCTCTCTTGATAGATCCAGGACTGGCTTCTGTCCCAGCTTTAAAATGTCTCATGATGACACCTCTTGTGCCACAAGTACCTTCAGACCTGAGATGTTATTGAGTGTCTGTTGCTGATTTTATTTTTATCACCATTTATCCACAGATGATTTTACTGTTACAGTAGTGTACATTCTGTTACAATAGAATCACTGAATGTTAAGGGTTAAGAGCACCTTTGAAGATCATCCAGTCTCAACCCCCGTGCCATGGGTAGGAACACCTCCCAGTAGAAGTGCTTGTTCAGAGCAGCATCCAGCTTGGCCTTGAACACTGCCAGGGATGGGGCAGCCTGTTCTATTGTCTAACCACCCTCACACTAAAGAATTCCTTCCTACTATAACCTAAATTTCCCCTTTTGCAATTTGTACCCATACTGACTAGATTCAGAGAGCCTCCCAGACCACTATGCTACAGCTTTAAAATTTCTTCCACCCTGGACCCACATTGCTGCGCAAAGGTTCTTCTGAAGAATGATGTTAGTTGAAGGAATTTTTCATTTACTTCAAACTTCTCACTTCTAATTAGCTGTGTCAAAGGATGTATGTGCAGAGATCAAAATCTTGACTCCCTCTAAGAAGGTTACAAGGCCAGAGATCTCTCAACCTTCCAGGTCTTGCCTTTCATCACAGTGGCAGTAATCATGGAGCTTGGCTGGCCCAAGGAAGCCCCTCATGCAGTGAAGTTGATTCAAGGTTGTGGCTCAAGGGCATAATTTGAGGCTGTCAGCCTTTTGCCATCTAGGATCCTGTCAAATACCTTTTCTTTTTGTTATCCCAGAATGAAACAAGTATCCACCAGCACATTGTTCACTACAGGAACCCCCATGGGCTCTAACATGGGAGACGTGCACACCACTTTGCCCAATCCCTTTCATACCTGAGCTGCCCTTCTCTATCTGACTGCTTTTCCCACGGGACCTTAGAGGTCAGCCCAGCAGCTCTGGGAAATTTCTGCTTTCTCTAAAGCTTTGCAGAATCAATATTTTCAAGATCCTTGCATCAAACCCTGATTTTTCACATGTGATGGCTGCTTTATAAAGAGCTTGACACTCTTTCAATCCTATCACTAAATATAAGACATGGGACAAAAAGTCAGGAAGAAAGAAGACAGACTGCTTGGACCTGTGAACTGCAGTCTGTTTAGCCTGTGAGGGTTCAGTGCTGCTTGAGAGGTTGTGTGTCTTCTTTGAAGATGCCACACCATGCAGACAGTGCCACTCCACTGATGTCTCTCTCTTTCACCGTGCCTGAGTGAACAGAATGTGGGTTTCTCAAAAGATTATTCACACCACTTAAACACATTGCAGCCTCTCAGCTATTTCTGTGCTTTCAGCTTTGTATCAGTGGAGTGATCTGAATTCTTTTGAATACATTAGAGATCTGAGACTTGTCTTATTTGCTCTTAAAGATTATGAGGATACCTATTTTTACACTTTCTAAAAGATACTTTTAAAAGAGATATAACCAAAAGAAAAAATAATAGGGTGACTCATGCAGTCTAAGTGTGTGAGGAATGACTCATCTCACAGAAAAGACTATTGAGGTAAATTTCCAACAGTATCAAATGGCTTGATAACCATTTGATAACTATAACCAGTCTGGCTCTGCAGTTCTGAGATATGTGCAGCAGTGCCTGAGGGAGACTGCAGCCACCATCCCCTGCCTCTGTGTGCTGGAAGGCACCTGATTAACAACCAGCCCTGGCAGACTTTGGGATTCAAAACAAGCAAAGAATGCTGTGCAGCAGAAACAGAAAACTCTGTACAACATACCTCAAATACACAGGTTAGCTTCTAGGGAGAGGCATCACAGTAATCTGAAGAAGAATTCAACAAGTGTTGCAAAAAACTCTGGGGAATCCCACCACCACAGACCTCTGAAAGTTGTGAGAGTATTTTGGGGAAGATTATAACTCCCAAGCCAAGGCATGTGCAGTGGAAGTAGAATGTAAGTGTATTTGTTTACTGCAGGATGTGTATTTCTTTTGTGTATTTTTTTAATTATCTATGAGCTTAATGATAATTTAGTAGGATTTTTTTTCTGTAGAAGTTTAACTTTATATAAGTATTTATAATAATTCTTAGGTTTTCAGAAGAAATTCCAGCCGATGAGAAGGAAAAGAAAAGTGATATTCTTAACATTTTTTCTGTTGCTTCAGGCCATTTATATGAACGTTTTTTAAGGTAAGGAAAGGTAAATGGGGAAGCAAGAATTTCATAGCAATACTCTACATTTTCTTAATAAAAACAAGCAACCTAAAGAAACTGACTTTTTAAGCAACATCCAAATAATAAATTTTCAAAACCAAGAGAAGTTGTATACAGTGAGAACTAAATTAATCTTTAAGAACAAGGTGATTCAACATATAGATGTTCAAAAATACTATTATTCTTTGAAGACAGAAAATGTCTTTCATGTATGAAGTACAAACATAAAAGCTGAAGTTCAGCCTCTCTGTATACAGACACAACAGAAGTGACTTCATTACACTTGTGTCTCTTCGTGTTTCATACAGAGTGGATTTACTGCATGCCCATATGGCCTTACTTATCTCAAGGTCCTTTCAATGAGCAGTGAGTGCTTTTAAGGAATTCTTACAGTATTGCCTGATCTCTTCACAACCATCTGTGTCACTTTTCTGATTTGAGCCCTGGTGATTTGATGGCTGAGTCATCTGAAGTTTGAGCACTGTGTTTCTTTCCTTCAACTTGCAACAACCTTCATAAAGGGAAAGACACATTTATTTTAAAGGAGAAAAAGTAATCTCTTAAACATCCTACTTGCTGCTTTGTCTTATTTTCAAGTTCATTATGTCTTGATTTTAAGGCAGATTTGATTTCTTTTAAGGCTGTAAGTCACTGCTTACACCAAACAAAGGCCACGATAATGAAAAATAATTGAACCCAAAACAGGGATTCTTACAGTTATTAAGGGTTTTCAGAAGAGGGTCTGACTTGGAATTCGTTTTTTTTCTTTTCAGCAACCTATTAAACTCAACTAGTAGATTGTAAAACAAGTTATTTCAATGGCCAAGTTAATATTTAAGGTACTAGGCATTATCTGATTTAGTCGGTCACCTGTCCTAGAATAAAACATGTTAATAGATCCACTTTTGAAATTGTTCCTTCTATTGTTGCTTAGCCAATCTGGATCAAATAAGGCCATCTCAAAGTGCCCTTGAACACATGCTCTTTAAAGCTTTTAATTAGAAGTAGATAAAAATTTCTATTTAAATTGGCTTAAAGAAATTATACTTAGAGTTTTAGTACTTTCTAAGTGCAGTTGAAATTTAATGACCCGTGTGTATTTGTTTGTTTATTGTAGACTTATATTTCCACAGAATTATGATGCTTTCTGTCCTTCGTCATACAAAAACACCAGTTAAATTTTGGTTTCTGAAAAACTATCTCTCCCCAACATTTAAGGTAGGAGAAAATTCTTCCTCTTTTTTTTTTCTTTAAAATTTTAAGTTATTTTTTTTTTTAATTGCAATTGACTAATTCTATAATTTAAATTAAATTTTCACAGTGGAAAATAATCCCTAAATCTATTAAATAGCAGTGTTAGGTATAAGGCTCTCCTCTTCCGGGACATGAAGCCCAGTGATACATTATAATAATTTATTCTCTTTTGATAGTCTCCAAGAGCTTGCATGAAATGCTATTTCTATTGGTGTAGCTGAGGATACTGCTAAAACTAGGGGATCATTTTAAGTAATAAATTGCATAATCAGTAAGGCCAACGTGCAGCATTCCCTCCTTTTCCTTTTGAGCCCTTGTGTGTCTCATATATGTGCACCTGATGGATTTTTGTTGTTCTTTTTGTTCTTCCAGGATGTAATTCCTCACATGGCTAAAAAGTATGGATTCAAGTATGAGCTGGTCCAGTATAAGTGGCCCCGCTGGCTTTATCAGCAGACAGAAAAACAAAGAATTATCTGGGGCTACAAAATTCTTTTCTTGGATGTTCTTTTCCCTTTAGCTGTGGATAAAATAATATTTGTTGATGCTGACCAGGTAAGAAAAGATAATGGCATATTACTGTATGAGGAATTAATTTGGGCTTAAATTGATCCAGTTTCATTCTGTGTGGCCATTTTATTCAGATGTTGGTCTTGAAAGACTGTTGCAGTTGTACAAACAGAACCAGTGATGTTGCAGAATGTAGGTGCAAGAATTTCACTGGTCTTCAGTCATGTGACATTAAGAGTTGTCCAAAATTGTGTGTGTGGAGAGACAGGCACCTGGAGAGATGTGTGTGGTCTTAAAGCTGCATTTCACTGAAAGCATATTGGAGGGATTCCATCTCTGGGCTGATTGTGAGAGGAATGCTCCACTATGGCCAGTTGTGAGGTGATTTTGGACTATTTGAACAACTTTTGGATGGCTGAAATTCTTCAAGTTTAGTCCTATCTGTGTTTTAAATTTGCATGCAGTCCTTCATTCAGGAGTGAACATTGTATAATGTGCTGAAAGACAAAGTGCAGATGACTTTATCACAAGGTTGTTAAAAACCTTGAGACAAATTCTGACGTATTTTGGTCCTTTTCCAAGCTCAAGAATAAATTAAACTTAGGTGTAGCAAAGCAGACTGCAACTCTCTGCAATTTCATCTGGATACACTATATGGGAACACTGGTGGTCTGTCCTAACTACTGTAAGGACTTCTCTGTGCTCCCAAATAGCTATAACATTTTTACCACTGATAAATTAGGTAAGTGGGGTTTGATGGAGAAGGATTGATTAGCAAATAAAGGACATGTGTAAAATGCCATTAAAACCTCTCTTTTGAAAGTACTTTACCATTAGATACAAGGATTTTTCAAATGATGCAATAATTTTGGAGTGCCCACGGTGGGTAACAAACAAGGAGGATTCTTTAGAAGGGGGCATGATTGGTAGATTGAAAAGTTGTGTTTCTTAATTAAGGCATTTTATATTGGGCAACCAGAAACACTGGTCTGTGAATTAAAAAAATATTGTCAGTTTTATATCATTTGCTCAATAAATGTGTTACACAGATGGCCACTGTTAATAATACAATAAAAAATTATAAATTGAGGAAGTGAAGGGAGACAACCATCCAATTGATGAGCATCGATCTCCAATTTATTGATCCAGCTTACACACTTTTATAGTAGTGTTAATTAAGTTCATACATATTGCAAAACCTGAGCTCATTATTGGTTACAGATTACACACCAACCCCTCCTTTGTTGCCAATACCTGTGGTTTTCTTGTTGAGGCTAATACTTGTTTTTCTCATCCTGCTGTTGACTTGTTATTGAACACCCTTTCAAGGACTCCATGTTTTTCACCATGCCTTTCTCATCACTTAGCCAAGGACACGATATTTACTGTTTAAGGGAAAAGCCTGAGAACTTGCTGCTTACAGCTGCCTTTTACTTTTTAACCAGCTGTATGTGATCATGGCCTTTCTATAAGCCATGTCTGAACAAAACTCTGCAACAATACATAATTTTGGAACAAGCTGTCTCCCACTGGAAAGGTCCATTTATACCCCACTGATGTAGTGTCGGTAGCTTTTTTTAATAAAAGTTAAACATTGTGAAGCCTGCTGCAATCCCTACCCTCATAGAAACGGTACTAAATGAATGATGTTCTTGTCTAGATTGTGAGGAGTGACCTGAAGGAGCTCAGAGACCTCGACCTGAACGGAGCCCCCTATGGCTACACTCCTTTCTGTGACAGCCGCAGGGAGATGGACGGGTACCGCTTCTGGAAATCGGGGTACTGGGCTTCACACCTGGGCAAGAGGAAATACCACATCAGGTGGGACAAGTCCTTACACACTGCTTGTGCTCTCTGGCAGCTGGATGGAAATCTGGGTGTTGGTGTTGATCACTGAGCCATTCAAGAGCCATTCTCAGTAAAGGCAGGAATTCTGATGACTCATTGATTTCACTGTTTTATGGCGGTTTCAGCCACTTAATAAAGAAAAATATCTCTTCAGGATGGGAACATGTTTTGCTTTCTCGTTACTTTTGTTACTATTGTCAAAAAGAGGGTGACCCCCCAGAAATCTTACTACTTTGGGATTTTTTTATTCCTTTTAGTGCCTTGTATGTTGTGGACCTGAAGAAGTTCAGGAAGATTGCAGCTGGAGACAGGCTTCGGGGCCAGTACCAGGCTCTTAGTCAGGATCCAAACAGTCTGTCAAATCTGGATCAGGTATTTATGGCTTTAAGCATTTTAGGGTTTTTCTTTATCTTTCTCAATACCTATGGAATATCTTGTATTTCAACATAAACGTTACATAATTCCAAAACTGTTTGCCATTTACTGCTCTTTTAGCCTATTTTCAGGAGTGCATATGAGCACAGCTCAGAAAACTGCTGATTTTTTTTAATTTAAAAATGAGGGATAACCCCAGTTTCGCCTTTATTTGTAGTTGTTCTGCATGCATTTATGTTTTTCTGATGATAACCCTACATTCTGATAATGGTAATTATATTCATGTTTACCAAGAGCTTGTTCCTTTTTCTTTTTTTCCATTAACGTAAATTCAATTTTCGTTTGTAAGTTAACTGCAAATGCACTCTGGTGGTTGCTGTACATGGTTACCTTAGAGTGGCTGGAGTTGGTCTCACTTTGGGTGAACCTCAGAAGGCTTCATAAGCGAGATTATCCCTGCTTTTGGTGTTTTCCTTGTGGAATTATTTAAGCACAGATTTTTACCTGCCTCCAACAGCAACAGGATCCCATGGTAGCAAAGCCCACATTGCTCAGTGCTTTTCCACACCCCTGCTCTGCAAGCTGGTTTCTCTCTTACATAAGGACATTATTGCCACTTGCATTTTTTTCCTCCAGAAATAAAAGTAAAAATTGAAAATAGGAGTTCTTATGATACTGGGCAAAGAAAAGTGGCAATACAGCCACACTAAAAACGCAGACTGGACTGGACACCTGGGGCTGGAGCAGTCTGCAGCTGTATGTTAAGAGCAAAAGGCTGAAATAACAGCTACAGTCAGAGTTCACATCTTTCTGGACAACAGGATGAATTCCTGGCCCTGATCACCCGTGCAGAGTCCTGATGTGATAGAGCTGTGTGTTCTCCAAACAGAGTTAGCCACATGTACAAAGTGTCTTTCAGAAAGACCTTTTAAGATTTAGAGGTTACAGGGTTTTCACCATAATGCTGGTTTTCAGAAAATTGGTCTTATCTAATGTTCTCAAAAAAATTAAAACTTCTCATTTTAAGACTCTTATATTTCCAATTACAGCTTTAATACATGATAGCATATCTTTCCTATTAGCCTGTTGGATCAAATCAAAAGCCACTTAAACACCAGATGTTAAGGTAGCTAAATCTTGGCAGAATGGAATTGGAATTACTTTGGAAAGTGAATATTTCAAAGTAGAATATTCATAATAATCTGGTTTGACCGTATTGATAGGAGCTACTTGCTGTCTTCATTGCTTCTTCTTACACAAAACACAGCAATACTCCTAGAAATACAAACAACAGTGCAGTGTATTGGAGACCTGGAGAGCTTTCATCTACTGCTAAGGGTGCATTATAACTCTGTTATTACTATTTTTGTTTTAAATACCTGTCTGGAGTGCTCACTGCCCTTCTCAAAGAAGCAGCAATCTCAGCTCTCCCAGCAGTGCCATCTTCATGGGTGGCAGTTAAGGTTCTTAAACCACAGAAGTGAAGTAGATAGAAAGGGAAATGATGATTTTAAATGCAAAGGAGAATAAGTATAGAACTCCTAGGGAGAAAAAATTACACATCATAAAAACTAGACTTCCAGTACAGTAATTTTGTTCAGAGCGGTTTTTGTGTTCATTCTTTTTTTTTCGTTTACTTTAAATCCTGAAACTAACAGCTGACTTTCTACATTTTACTGCATGTAACAATTTTTAAATTGACAGCTTCTAAAAGTACTGCAGTAATTCAGGAATTGTGATTTCATTTAGAAAGAGAGGCACAACAGAAAACCAGTCTCTTCTTTTGGAATTGGAATGGTGGTAAACCATTCCAAATGGTGATCAACTACATTCCAAAAATTATAAGTTTAAAAAAAAAGATAAAGCATTTAAATTAATATTGAATGTCTTGGCTCTCCATATAATTTGATATAATTCTTTGGTACCAATGTCTGTGTTTCAGTTAAATTGTACATCTTTTATAATACAGCAATATATGCTATTTTATTCTGTCACATTTAGCAGTGTGAATTGGCAAACTAAGATGTGGCTAACACTTGAGTGCTGACATTTATTCTGAAATAAATAAGGGTTGCACATGTGAGGGCACTTAGCACTGAATGTGCCAGGTACTGCCCCTGCTCTTTGCAGCTCTGGCCAGAGCAGCTGCAGCCAGCCTGAAACCTGCCTCAGGAGTTTCTCATTTATAAATGCTGTTCCCTGCATTTAGCCGGATCTTGGCTCAGAGTTTTCATGGCAAGATTTCCTGAGAATGTAATAAAGGTAAAAAAAAAAAACCCTAGAAGTAAAGTAAGGAACTTAGCCAGAATAGCAGTTTAAAGCTTTTTCTTCTCAAGCTCATTTCTGGAATCTGTTTTCCTAGAAGTCATCTCAATTTAGAGTAGTGGCATAAATCCTGTATTATATGTTTTTTGAGTCGGGGTTTGTTTTTTTCAAGGAATGGTAAAGTCAGGGTTTGGGGTTTTTTTTCAAGGAATGGAAATTCTATTCAATGCTAATTTATGATTTTACAAAATTTTTACAGGATCTTCCCAATAATATGATCCATCAAGTAGCCATTAAGTCTCTCCCTCAGGAGTGGCTTTGGTGTGAAACCTGGTGTGATGATAAATCCAAGAAAAAGGCTAAAACAATAGACCTGGTGAGTTGATCCTGACTTAAATGAGTTCTACAGGTTAAACATTTTGCTGTGATTTCTGGGGCATTTCAGGTTGAGTTTGTGTCATGTCATGAAGGCAGCCTTGCTGGAAGGCGCTGCAACATTCCATCCCTTTCCCTGAAGCATTTTCCCCTCTGAGACCTCTCCCACTTGCTCTCTACCAAATCTGCTTACGTTAAAGCTGAAAACTGTACCAAAAAATTAAGTGTTGTTATCTCTTAACCAGATAGGACTGAAGCTTTTCATGCCATTACATGAATTTTCCTTATAATTTTTCCATAGTCATCCAAGTTACTGGAGCTGTGACAAAGTGCTGTTACCTGTCTGGGCACTATGGGCTGCTCTTGTTCTCCCCACAACCTTGACATTGTCATGGTTTTCTTGGTCTGTTTCATTGCTATAAACAGGAGATAAAGCAAAGCCTTAAAAGCACAATGCTCAGCATACTATCCATGTTTAGGAAGAAGAAAGGTTCTTTCTTTGGGAATAGAGAGAGACAAAAATCTTTTTCCTGTCATTATTATCCCAATCCCATTTTTTCCCCCATTTAGATTTTTTGACAGCACACATACACTATTTGCAGGGCTTTAGACATAATTTGAAAGGAAAACAGACAGTTGGAACTTGGTGTGATTTTTCAGTATGCAAATAGTTTTTGTTTTCTTCATGTCTTTACTGTTAGAATGAGTTTGTTTGTGCTCTAAAGACAGGTGCTCTCTGTTCAAAACCCACATACGGTTCAGTTTCAGTGTGCCAATGTCAATCTTGCATCTCCCTAGGCAACTTTGTCTAAATTTTAACAGTCTTGTGCCAGCCATGTCTGTGCTATATTGACAGTCAGCAAAAAGTATTTACAATTCATTTGAGCTAAATTCTCTGAAAGGGTGTTATTTTCACATTTGCTTTGTTTACATCTAATATGTTTTAAACTTTCAGTGCAACAACCCCCAAACCAAAGAACCAAAACTAAAGGCTGCTGCCCGGATAGTTCCTGAATGGGTTGATTATGACTCTGAGATCCGAAACTTAATACAGCAAATTGAAAGAGAGAAGAAAAATCTAACATCATTCTTTCGAAAAGGTAATTTACATGCATTTTCAGCTGTTAGCTTTTAAAAATTAAGTATCAGTCTAGTTGAAATTAAGATTGGGGTCAGTAGGCACAAATCTTGTATTTGTGTAATTTCCCTTGTTAGAGAAGTGGTGTGGGGTTTGATAGTTGTGTGATGCTTCTTTCCACAGGAATTACACTGACAGGACAAACTGTCTTGTTTCATGCCAGAAATAAGAGAAAGCTCAGTGATCCTGTTCCTGCACCTCAAACACAGCCAACAGTCACGTTATTTTAGCCACAAATATTAAGTAAAGCACATTAGCTTAGACTTCACTTGGATAATCTAAAGCTCATGTCTATTAAGCAGTTGGGGACTGAGTGTTAATTTGCCTCTGCATCTCCCTCTCTCTCTCTAGACTTACCTATCCAAGCCTTTTTGCACTAGACTAAATTCTGTTTTCGTTAGTTTGGGGCTGAGGTTTGGTTTTTTGTTTGTTTGGGGGTTCTTGTTGTTGTTTTGTTTGGCTTTTTTTCAACTAAAATTGTTTTAAACTGAATTAATTAAATAACATGAAAGCCCCAGACAAACAAAACCCAAAAGCAAAAGAAAAACCACAAACACATAGAAGTACTCCAAGTAAAACATGACTTCTTGGACTAATGGACAAAATGAAAAGATGATCTGAGCACTCAAGGTTTAAGAAAAAATGAGCAGATAAATATTTATAAGTCTTGGGTGGAGGAACAAATTCACTTTTCCTTTTAAAGAATTCTTAGTGGGTTTTATTCTTCATGAAAGCTTATGGTCAGCTTGTAGCAAGGCTCCAAAAATGAAGTTCATGAACTGAGTGATTAGCAGGAAATGGCAAGTAAAAGGCTTTCTCCATATCTTACAAACCCAGGCACTGCCTCTGTGTAACTTTTGTGTATTTTTCCCCTTTGGCTCCAGGGCTCAAGCACGATGAACTTTAGCACAGCCCATGACCAGCAATGGTGACAGCTCCAGAGTTTTCTGGGAAGGACTGAACAGAATTTACAGCTGTTACATTGGCACTATTTGCAGCATTCTTTAATGTGAAGTCAAGTATTTTATAACTTAAAGTGTTATTTAAAACATTTTAAATGCAATACAAAAATGAGAAATCCACAGGTACTTGGGGGTTTGGGGTTTTTAAGTGGTATGGAGCAGCTTTCCCAATGGCTTTTTCTTTTCCTTCTCTAAAGTACATTTTGCCCAGAGGACTTTGGAATATGAAGGAAGATGTGTTCAGCATTGTCAGTCCAGGGGAGGACACACACATTAAATATGTACTTGAAAACTGTTTTGTGCATATTCCATGCATTAGGCTACTGTATTTAAATACCATAATTTTGGTTATATGCCCATAGTTCTGTCCCCCAAGCAATGCTGTGGTCACAATAAACAATTTCATAAAAAATGAGATGTCTGATTTAGGCCACACAAAGATAACTCCACGTGGAAGCTGAAGCAAGGAATGACACTCTTCATTTATTATTGCTGCACTCTTAAGAGATTCTTCAAACTAATTTTTTTATTCTTAGGCTCCTTTTGGCCACTTAAATAGTGTGTGATAAAATTCCATTATGGTTTTGGTTGAGGTGATTTTCCAACCAGCATACATTGTATCAGAAGGTCAGTACCTGAAAGCTGCTTCTACTCACTTTTGATTATCATCATCCTGTTTATAACTGAAAAGAAAATAATAAAATACATGAGTATTTTTTGACTATCAGTGGTGTCTCCTGTAATTTTCTAAACCTGTACTCACAAAACTGTTACTTTAATGGGATACTGACATTTTGATCCCACAAAAATTGCAGGGAAAAGTTCTTGCAATACCCATATTTGAAAATGGGGAATTTGTGTCTCCAATTGAAATCTAGTGCCTTAAATACACACCTTGTTGTTCAGGCTATGCTGGTTTCAAAATGGGATTGGATGAGACCACACTTTCTTATAAGAAGTCTTCCAGTTTAAATGCTTGAAGTTGCACAAGACCATGTAATTGGCACTAAGCGGGTGAATCAGCAAGGATTGCACATTATTTCCATAGCAGCAAATAACTGGATAAACAAGTAGAGAAATGAAGCAGATTTTGTATGCACTATCATTGTCCTCAGCTGTTGGTTACTTACCATTTCTTACTGTAAGAGTGAGTATTTAAAATCACATGTTGCTGGTATTTTCCAAGCCCTATTACTAAGGAATGTGAGACATGCAGATTTTTTTACACCTCTCTGTATTTTCTGTGGTTTTACCTTGATGTATTTTGAACATTTTTAACATGTCACATACAGGTTTTTAAATGCCTGTGTAGGGATTTCCTTTTTATGAAGTACCCAATGGAGTATTTCCTGTGCAACCCAATAGCAAAAGTCAGTAAAGCCTAATGTCAGTTCCCTTTATGTCTGACCCTTTTCAGTGCAGCAGTTGTTTTGTTATGCTTGTTCTCTTAATTACTTCAGGATATCATGCGGGATATCGTGCACCATTACTAAAAATCCCACTCATAAAAAGGAAGTAACTGATTTGCCATAGCAGAGGACAAAAGCCCTCAAACCATTATTCAATTGTTCGCTGCATGATTTTATTTTATTTGCAAAATATTTTTGAGATTTATACTTCTATCCTGCTGCCTGACTCTGCAGCAGCATTTCACATGGATCTGGCTTGGTATTCCAAGCTTCAAGCATATATTGGAAAACTTGTTTTAGGACAGAAGTTAAAGGTTTTTTAAGAAACCTTAGTTCTCTTTAATTATGATTATCTGTGTGAGCATGTTCTGCAGTATAAAAAGTGGGTAATTCATGCACTGATTTCATGTTCATTTTCTCTGTAGCATCCTGTTCTTTTTAAAATTGGATTACCTCTACTGGCTTTAAAAAAAGAAATAGTTCTTTAAATACTATTTCCTTGAGATTGCTTAAATGATTAGAATATAATTTTATAAATGTAATTTGTTGGAGATAATTTTGAAGATGTAAAAGGTTTAATGCAATCTTCTAGTGTTTTCTATATTTGTACAAAATGTTCTAGTTGGGTTTTTTTTCCTGCATAATACTACTTTCAAAGAAAGCTTTTTTTAATATACAATGCTTTATAAAATAAGAAAGGTCCCACAAACTTATTCACTACTTTTTAAAAGATCTCTTTAAAGCAGCACTTTGAGTCATTAGCATGCCATTATATTTTAATCCTAAATCCATGGATTGTGTATGTTGTACAAAATATTAAAAGGTTCCACTGGAGAAGCAAAGATGGATTGTTCTCTGCTCTCCCTTTCTCTATTACACAATTATCATTCCCTACTTGGCTAACAGAGCCAAAGAAAGTAAATGACAGCAAGTCCTCAACTGCCTTTCCTCTACCCAAAGTGTTTTTGTAGGGAAGCAACAGCAGTGTTCACATCAAGGCATCTGCTGTGAGGTGAGATGCAGAGGTGCAGAGAGAGCTCTGTGCTGTGCCCTGTGAAAGGGATGAAAATACATGCTGCTTTTGTGTTGCCAAAAGATGGTGCTGCTCGGTAAATAAGCAAAAGAATATTTGAACTATTCAAATGAAGGAGTTTTACAGTTTATATTCCTATGACAGTGTCTTTTCTATGCCTTGATCTTGAGGTCAGCTGGTAAGTTTAACAGAAAATGAATAAACCAGGCATTAGTGCAGTATTGTTGATGAGCCAGAGCTTTATTTAGTATTAAAAATATTTCTCAGGTTCTCTTAGGTTCCTTTTAACCAGTCCCTGAATCAGTCTGAGACTTCATGGAATCATAGGATAGCAGGTTGGAAAGGACCTCAAGAATCACCTGGTCCAGCCTTCTTTGGCAAAAGTACCTTTGGTCCAGGCAATATGATTCAGCACCCTATCAGGCAAATCTTATTGTTCCAACACGAGAATCCAGCATTTCCTGGGGATATTCCAAGGGCTGGATGTTCTCACTGTGAAATCAGCACTCAACAGGGCTTCTACAGTTGCTGTGGTTAACTTCTATACATCAAGGTTCTCTTCCACACAGAACGTGGCTGCTTCCTCCTCTTGTCCCCCCTCTGCAGCAGTGCCCTGCACAACTCCAGCTTCAAACCTGAAGAGAAGCATGAGGAAAGAAGGGAAGACAAATACACAGCAGTGCTTTCTTGTCATCATAAATATCTTTATTGTGAAAAATACCATAAAATAATTCCCACAGTTCTAGAAAAAACAGTTCTTGCTTTGTAGATTTATGATTCCATATAAAGACATTTTATAATTTGAAACATTTGATAAATCTCTGGCTAACTTTACTTACCCTTCTTAAAACATGAAACTGCTACTTAGTAATTTACTGAGGGCAAAAAAAAAAAAAGTCATTCTCCCATTAATTTTGTTACGGCTTTATGGATAAAAGTGTGTATTACAGAGCAAAAAATACCTTACAATAAGGCACTTTTAAATACAACTAACCTGCTATGATATCCTGGCTAGTTTCCAGCAAAGCTCCTATAAGCCCTAAACAGAAGAATAAATGCTTGTTCCAAACACCAGTCTGAAAACTGAAATGATAACAAGCGTTAAGGTTTGTTGTTTTTTTTTTTTAAGTTTAAACTAATACATTTTCTGCATATGTCACAAGTTTGAGCTCTTCAGTTTGTAATTCACTTGGACTCTCTTATAATACTGATCAATTATCATATCTGTATTTTACCAAGCAACATATGCTCTCCCCACCTTCATTTTAAAACAGGTTGGAAACGAGTTTATTAAAACTGAAAGAACTCCACAGAGAAAGTTTGCAATCTACATACAGGCCAATGATGGGAACAATGTTTCATGCACATCTCAGGGTTGACAAACTACTGAGACATTTTACTTCTGTGTTCAGTTACTGAACATTATTGCACTACAGACACCCACGAATAAATAAAAGGCGGCTTCAGCTTCCTTGCGTGTTGCCTGCACCATTAACACTCAGCATGGGACCAGCACTTCATTTGCCAGAGTCACGTCAGGAAATGCAGTGCCGGAGCTGGAGAGCCTTGCAACATAAATGGCTTCTTTTAAACACAACTTTGTCTGGTTTCCCAGAATGCCTCAATGCCCTTCAAAACAGCACTGGGGTGGTAACACTTCTTGTGCCCAGCAGCTGCTCAATAGTAGAAAGCCTTGTTCTCTGCTGTCGTGTTTTGCTATTGTTTCCAAGAACCTGTCTTCCAACAAAAGGAATCTATGAACAGCAATCATGCATCAATCATCTTCCTTCTTCTACTGACTACATTCAAGCTTTTTTGTTCTTAAAATGTCATTTCCTCGTTCCCATTCATTCATTTTCAAAATGCACACAGTCCTTTTTTGTTTGTCTCTGTCCCGCTGCCTCCGAGAAACAAACGCACACTGCTCCAAAATCAGTGCATTGCATGAAGAATTTACTCATGAGGGAACATCTTATTCCTTCTCTAGACAAAAAAAATTAAACCTCAGGAAACAATTCTCTCAGCTCAAGCTTTTAAAGCTGCACAAGGGCAGTCCTTTGAAAGAGAACTTATTTCCAGCAGTCCCCTGGCACACAAGCACAGCTGGCTGTAGTCTTTACTGTGACTTTGCACAGCCCAGCCAGTCCTGCATGTACGCAATCGGGCACATCGCTCACGCTGCTCACTCAATACTCCTGTAAAAGCAGCCCCTGCTGTAGCGAACAAGGCAATACCCGAGTGTTCAATGGCTCACACACAGCCCAGGGCCAGCACAGCTGGCTGGAGCTCACCCCTCAGGGCAGAGGGCTGACCAGAGCCACAGGAGGACGTGGACAGCTGCCCCCCACAGCCACCTGCCCAACCCGAGGTCCTGCCAGCAAGCAGCAGGTGCACAGAGGCCAAGCCACAGGGCAGCAGGCTCCTCACTGTGCAGTCAGTTCCTGTGTCTGAGCCCCAGCCCCTGAGAGCTGTGCCAGCCTTGAGTGCTCTCAACAGCCCTGGGCATCTCCAACACTTCAAGTAAAAATATTTCCGACAGGTCACAAGCACAAGTTGAACTTGTAGAAAGTCATTCAACTTAGTGAACATCCAACACTGGAGTTTAAGAGGCTGCTGTGGTGGTTTCTAAACCATTAGAAAACACCAAACAACCTCCTCAGTTTGAAGATAAATTTGTGAACACTGACCTTTAAATTGCTGTTGAAAAACATTTTACAAAGCTGCATGGCCTCGCAGTTATGTTGGTGAAGTACTTGAGGCAGGAGCCAAGGGTTCTGCTTCAGCAGCAACTTCATCTACAGTAAGAAACCCCTCCCTTTCAGACTCAAGGCCTTATTTGCTAATTTCATTTGTTTCACTGAGGCTGCTTAGGTTTTCAAGTGCCAGGAGTTGAAGCAAGAGAAGACTCCTATCAGCTGATTATTGTTTTCCAGTTAAAATCCAATCAAGAGAACATTGATGAACTGTAATTCTTGCATTCCAAGAAAATGGCTGCTGATGAAACTCAGTAATTATGTCAGTAATTATGACAGATGCAGTTACAGAATGAGAAGACTCCTCACTCCTACCAGCTGCAGCCCTGGTAACACCACACAGCGCATTCACACAACTCCACCAACTACACCAAACCCATTTTAAGTATGTGCATATAGAAAAAATTAGAAACAGACTTTTGGCTAGTGGGAAGTGAGTCCCTCTTTTTGCACACAGCTGTCTCTGCAGTACCAATGCTGTTACATGAAACATAAAATTACTACAATTTCATGTAGTACTAATTCTCTGTTGCATCATCCAGCAGAACTGAAGTTGTATTGCATGGTAAGGCTGGAGTTAATAACACATTCCTGCAGTACACTCACATCACAACCTGTCTCAGTTCTGACTTTATGTACAGAACCAACAAATTGCTGCAGAGTCAGGGAAATGTCACATCAAATTTTCTGCTCAAATTTGAAGCAGATACTTTGTTGAAGTGCAAACTACTCAAAAATCATACCTAAACAAACACCCAAAAATCACATTAAGAAAAGAAGTGTTCTGAAAATCAAGTCTTTCCCCCCAGTCCCACCTCACTGCTGACAATTCCACCAAGGAAGTCACCCCAATTAATTTCAGGTTAGTGAACAACAAAGTGAGCAGTATTTCAGCTACAGTTACCCCCAAGCACTCTTTGTCCAGAGTGATTGTTGGGACTGGTTCAGTGCACAGCCTCTTCCCCACCCCTGGCACTGCCATCACCAATCCAGCAGGTGGCCACTTGGGTTTCCTCTGAAAAATACTGGGAGATGGATCATTCTGCTGAGCACAACCAACAGTTTGTTAACGTAGAGACTACTGTAACTACCCTTGCCATGTTTATTAGGCCCCAATCCACAAAAATATTTACATGCATTTTTATCTTTAAGCATATACTTGAATTCTAAATTTAAAGTGTTGTCCTAAGTAGCATCTTACTGTTTTTTCCATCCGTAGGAATAAACGTGCCCTGCATACCCACAGCAAATACATAGGCAGCACAACCCCCATCAGCGTGAGCTTGTCAAGCTCATCACAAACCAAACCCAACAAAAGAAAAAAGGAGCTTTCCGCTAGTGCAGTAAGACTCTGGGTTAAGGACAACATTATAGAAATTAAGATTTTGGGTCTTGAACTGAGAGACTTTTTATTTTTCAATGAATTAAGTAAAAAACAGCAGCAGCCACCCAGAAACAGTCTTGGCTCTAACTGAAGTGAAATTTGAATGTAAATGGTCCTCCTCCAGAACCAAAGGGGTTGAATCCTTGCCATGTGTTCCAGCTCCGGTGGAACGGGTTGTTGCCGCCCTGCTGACTCTCCGCATCCAATGGGTCCTCTCCCGCATCAAACTTCCGCCGCATTTCTGGAGGAAACAAAACCCAGGTGGAATCATGGAACAGCAATAACAGGCTTCCCCAGAGTACTTCAGCTGCTATTATAACCTAAATGCAGTTTGCAATAGCACTCGAAGCACAAGGAGACACACATATCCTTGACATAAGTATATCCAGAGTTGGTCAATCCTAGAAAGCTCTATAAGACGTTATCCCTAGAAGACACCTTCAAAATATAATTTCTATTTGACTTTTGTTAAAAGTCACTGAAACACAATAAGTAAAGATTACATCTGACTTCCCACAACAGACTGGATACAAGTGTTAGTGTACTGCTTTCTCAAGATGGGTAAAGGCAGAAAGGGAAAAAGGGAAGCTGAAATGCTTGTTATGACCTACACGTTTATTTTGACCTTGATGTAAAAAAAGTAACTAAAATAAGAAGCCACGGCATCATTACCTGGGTCAGTGAGGACTTCTTTAGCAGCTGCAATATCGATGAATTTCTTCTCTGCTTTCTTTTTTTCTTCCTCACTCTGGAAGTTATCAGGGTGCCACTGGGATGCCAGCTTTCTGTAAGCTTTTATGATTTCTTGCTTTCGAGCATTCCTAGATGGATAAAGTTACAGATAACTTCATTTTCTGACTGCCCAAATGCCACACTAATAAAGTTTATTTTAAACACTGAGACACCAATTAAGAGCAACTGTGCTGTTAACCTTCTGCAAGTGGCATTGAGGACTACACAAAACAAAGGAAGCAAGCTCCAACCTTAAGCAAAGATTGCTCACTCTCTCCTTCACCACCCATATACTTCTCTTGGAAAGATGCTACTGCCAGTGACTGCAGAATATAGTTCTCAGTCTGAGGAATTTGCGATCAGACGAATAACAAAAACCAGATCAAATTAGTTCCCAATTGGAAGGACGACCAAGACTAGTTCAGAACTTTGCTTGCTCCTCATTAGCAAGGGAAGTTCTTCAGTCAGTCCTTCCAGATCCATCACACTATCACAATTTTTGTTACTTTCAGTAATTGTTGCCAGTCTTCATTTCTTCCCCAACTCATCCGTATGACTCAGGGTCATCTATACTAAGAATTTCTTCCCAAAGAATTTATTTCCTCTCTTCTTGCTTGTTTTTCCATTCTTTCTAAAGGAATTGTAAACAAATGCCACTTTACAAGCTGAACATTAAAAATTAGTACAGCAGAAGAGTGAAGATAGCAAGATACAGAACAAAAATTAACACTCAGCAGAACAAATTCAAGTGATCAGCCCTAGAAGTGCTAGTTTAAAAAACCACCTTTTACATCATCATCTCTGAAATTAGTATCTCACCTTTTTACTCCCAGGATTTTATAATAATCCCTCTTCTGTGATTGCTTCAGCATTCTCTGGGCACGTTCCAGCCCTTCCCGAATCTGTTGGTCATTTTCACTATTGGCTTGAGCAGTCTCATAGTCTTTAATAGCTTTTATTAAAAAAAAGGCAATGAAAAAAGGTTTTACTGCTCTACAAACTTCCAGTTAAAGAATTCAGCCACTCA